CCTCAACTCCACGACCACCGATGTCCTGACAGCTGTCTGTCCGACATAGAGACCTGGATGAGAGACAACTTTCTTCAGCTCAACGTGCGCAAAACTGAGGCCCTCCTGATTGGCTCACGTCAGCGCCTCCGCACCTCAGGCACTGACAGCATCAGCATCCAAGGCTGCACTCTCCACCTCTCAAAGCCATCAGGAACCTGGTGTTCTGTTCGACCCTGAGCTGTCCTTTCTTCCACACATCCGCACCACAACTGGCACCGCCTTCCACCACCTCCGGAATGTCGCCAGAATACGGCACTACCTCACCCCTCACGCGGCTGAAACACGGGTCCACACCTTCATCACCTCAAGGCTGGACTACGGGAACTCTCTCCTCGTCGGCCTTCCCGGCCCTCCCTCCACACTGCAGGTCATTCAGGACTCTGCAGCTCGTGTACTGTCCCGCACCAGACACCGCGACCACATCACTCCCACCCTCGCTCGCCTCCACTGGCTCCCCATCCCCCAGAGGATCGAATTCAAGATCCTCATCCTCACCTACAAGGCCTCCCGACGTGAAAGGCGCTCTATAAATGGAATCTTGTTGTTGTTGTTGTTGCACCCTCCTACCTCTCCGACCTACTATCCCCTACTTACCTGCCCGTACCCTCTGTTCCTCCGGCTCCGGTCTGCTCCACATCCCCCGCCCCAACCACCCTACCATCGGTGGCCGGGCCTTCAGCCTCTCAGCCCCGAGGCTCTGGAACTCTATCCCTTAGTGCCTTCGCCGCTTCCTCCCTTTCCTCCTTCAAGGCCGGTCTCAAGATCTTTCTCTTCAACCATGCCTTCAGCTCCCCTCTCGACTCTCTATCCCCTCCTCGCTCCCTCCCTTCCCTCCCCCTGACCATTTCCCCCTTACTCGGGTCGCGACCCAACTGTCCAGCGCCTTGGGACGTCCTCTGTTGTTGAAATGAAATCTTGTTGCTGTTGTTGTTGTAAGCTAGTCACTAAAGCAAACAAACTTATGAAAGGATTATAGGCAGGTTGCATTCTAAAAATATATATTCATTAAAAACCTTATAAAAAATCAAGCATCACAATTGTACTTTCAGATAATATCTAATACATTAATTACAGAATCCTTACACCCGTTATCACGTGATCTTTTTATTCCATGATCAAGCAATCCTGTAGATCTGGCATCCTGCGATCCAATGATCTTGTGTGTGGCAACATTCAGGTTCGCGGGTGAGATAGGCATTCAGTGTGAGGGGAATCAGACCCTCCAACAGTCTGGGATTGCATGGGATTGTCCTCCAAAACTTGCTGGTGGGAGATATGGGAATGTGATAGTCTGAGCATCAAACAGGGGATTGTGAAGCTGTTGTGTCGGTTCTGGATGTTAATATTTGAGAGAACGACTGGTGCCGTCACAGAGACTGAGCTAAATGATTGTCTTTTTCACTCTTTACTTTTTAGGACGGGCACCAAAGCCGACTCTGATCGTGGATCCCCCGTCAGGTGATGTGATACTGGGCGACAATGTGACATTCACCTGCACAGCTCCAGAATACGCAGTTGCGATGACATTTACGTTATACAAACTAGTTGGTGAAATAAAGTTAGAGAAGTTACCACCAGTAAATGTATCTGAGGTTGTTTTCCAGATCACAGGAATCAACTCCAAGAATGACGGGAGTTACCACTGTGTGTATGACATTCCCAGGCCACGGTTTTCGTCTTTGATACTGTCAGAATTCAGTGACTATGTGAGGCTAACAGTTCGAGGTCAGTGAAATTCCTGTCCTTCTCTATTGTTTCTGTCTCAACGCACCCCCCACACCAACCAGACTGTCTGACTGTCTGTCTGTCTATAAAACGTGTGACAGGGTTTGCCCTGACCCTGGATCGGGGAGTCAGGCCTATTGCATGTTCCTTGCCCACCCTCAGCTGCCGTTCGTGGCTGCCCAGTTCCAGGTGTTAATGCAGTCTGTGTAAACCCCTCACACAAACCGGGTCAAGCCCCTCCCTGAGAGGGATTTACGAACTGCAATTAATAATAAAAATCTACTAAATTGGAAGTTTTATTTTGCTAATATCTGTTCATTCCCCTCCAGCTCCGCGGCCGGTCCTGTCCGTGTCTCCAGCCTCTGTGGTGAAGGGAGGCTCTGTCACGTTGACATGTACAGCTCCCAGCTCGGTCTCACCCTCACAGTTTACACTGTACCGCGAGGATCAGCCGGTCAGACAATCACCACACACGGGGCTTGTTAAAGTCTTCGAGATCAAAGCAATAAACGCCTCAGATGAAGGAAGTTACCGCTGCAGATATCAAACTGCTCAGTCTGTGAAGTCGCTGCCCAGTCCCCGTGTGCCGCTCACTGTGAGAGGTGAGGGAGCTCCCCCTTCATGCCCCAAACAATGAATTCACACTTTGGGTGTCGTGTGTCCAACAGACATGGAAACCCATTGCCGTGAGCAGCCGAGTGTCTGACACACGCGGAAACCCACCCATGAAGATTTGGGTGAATGACCAGTTTTATTTGGGGGATTGTCAGCCTGGACCCCGGGAAAGAGAAACTCCCTTCTCTTTTCCAATAGCCCCACAGGAGAGCTTTAACGTCCACCTCGACAGGAGCTCGGTTTAATATGGCATCCGTTGGACGGTGCCTTCCACAATGCAATGCCTCTGACAGTGCGGTGTCCCCCCTCCCCCCAGCACTGCGCTGCACTAGTGTCTCACCAAGGCCCCAACTTGGGGGCGTGACCCCACGACCCCTGACTCAGAGTTCCAGTCAAGGAGCCGGACGGGCACCTCGTGGTGTGTTTCAGATGAAAGCCTCAGTGAAACACAAACTAGATTGTACCCGTGTCGTGCTCTGGGGCCCCAACACTCACCAACAACGATCTCCTGTTTCAGCTGTGGACTGGTGGCCGGTAGCGGTGGGTGTGAAGCTGAGCGTTCTCCTCCTTCTGCACCTGGTGGTGGCTGCCGTGTGGATCTGCAAAGCCAGAGGTGACGGGGCAGACACTCACACACCAGGAGTCACCCGGGAAACCTCCTGAACGGCTGAAGCTTTTTGATGATGTGTTGAAGAGCCACGGAGGGGTGTGGGGCGTGTTACCAGCCAGACGGGCGCAGGCTGGCGCTTGTCTTATATTTCAGAGTCTCTCATTGACAAAAGGAGCTCAGACTCGTCGCTGTTCAGGGGAACAGGATCTGCAAGGCAAAGCTTGTGGTTAAAGACAGTCTGTCAGGTCGTCCTCCCTACACTTGGGCCGAGAGTGAACACACATTTCCTCAGCGTGAATCTGCCGGCTTCTCTGTCCTTGTCATGTGTGGCCTGGCTCAGTCACTCCCGCTTCTGAACCACAAGGTTGTGGGATTCAGCCCCTCCCTCCCCCCAACGTCAGGGAGTTGAGCTCACAGTCTGGGCTGACGCTACAGTACAGTGTCGGGGGGTGTGGGGGCTGCATTGTCGGAGGTGCCGACCTTCGGGTGAGACACCATTAAAGTGCTTCACAGAATATAACTGTGTGTTTTGTGGGCGAATGCGGCAGTTAACTTGTGCTCAGCAACAGCCCCACATAGTGCATCTGGCAATGACGCAAAACAGACTTAAAGTGAAGTGAACAACCAATTTAATTTGGGGGATTGTTGGCCAGGAACCCGGGAAAGAGAAACTCCCTTCTCTTTTCGAACAGTGCCACGGAAGTTTGATCAGCCAGACAAGGCCTTGGTTTAATGTCTCAGTTGAAGGACGGCACCTCTGACAATGCAGCACATCCTCAGCACTGTGTTGGAGAGTCAGTTTAGATGATATAGATTTCAAGTCCCGACGTTGGTCTTGAACCCACGACCTTCTGACTCAGAGGAGAGAAAGCTACCACTGAGCCAGGCTGACACATTCCTCTTAATAAGCAGCTAATGTAGATTTCCCATCTCTGTTCTTTCTTCGCATAAAAATGTATGGCTGTCGCTCTCTCAGACAATAAACATAACTTTTCAAAGAAGTTTCAGCTTTGTGTTAAAGCCAAACTGAATCTGTTTCACAGAACGCTGACTGCCGGTGGTGGGTGGGTGGGTGGGTGGGTGGGGGGTGTCAGCCTGATACCCACGGTGGGATGTAAACGGGAGACGACGTAGGGAGGGATTGAGCCTGACGTGACCTCAGTGACACGGTGTCCAGCAACAGGATAAAGTGTAAGAAATAGCACAGCTTCTGGAGCAAAGACACCAGGGATGGACGAGAGGTAAAAGGTAAGTCACACCCATGTTCCTGTCCATGTTATTACAACATAGAAAGAGGCCATTCAGCCCAACAAGTCCGTGCAGCGCCTTGGGACGTCCTCCTGACGTGAAAGGCACTTTATAAATGGAATCTTGTTGTTGTTGTCAGGGTTTGTACTCCACAAAGGCCCCCACCCCTCCCAATCCTCCCCCTCACTCCTCTGTTCCCTTCTCCGTTACGTATACATTCACTGTCCAGTGAGCGAAGGAAAACACGGCTTCCTGTTGGTAAAGGCTGAAAACCAGACTGTGAGAAACTCTCTTCTCATAGTCTCATAGCCCACCTCTGGGCGGAGCAGGAACAGGGAGACCTGGGAGTCCACATAAGCAAATCTTTGAAGGTGGCAGGACAGCTTGATAAAGCTGTTTATGTACCTGTCCTGTGCACTGAACACAAGGCTGATTGCCCTGTATTCAAAAAAGGCATAAGGTACACTCAGCTTTATAAATAGGGGCATAGAATACAACATTAAGGAGATTATGATGAACCTTTATGAAACTGTGGTTAGGCCTCAGCGAGAGACTGTGTTCAATCTTGGGCACCAGACTTTACGAAGTACGTCACACATTGCAAATAGTTGCTGAAATAAATAGAGGGGAGGGGAGGGGAGGAGAAATGTTTTCACACAGTGAGTTGTTCAGATCTGCAATTCATTGCCTGAAAGGGAGGTGGAAGCCGATTAAATCAGCAGTTCCTCTATTGCTGTGCGGATCCTGAACTCACCCTTTCCGTTCAGTCCGTTGTTTGTGTTGGTCTGAGCTGCACTCAAAACGTTGTGAGACCGATGGCGGATCTGGCCAGAGGCAGGTTCCTTGCTGAAGTGTCTTTGCCGATCGCCCTCCTTGTGATGGGTGAGTGATCTCTGTGACTTTGTGTACCGCAGTCCTGAGGGTGACTGGAAAGGCCAGAGCGGGCACAAGCTCCTGTTGTTGGCCGGTGTCTCATCAGTTGATTTCCTTGTCTTCCTTCCAGACCTTCACCTAATTCCGGACAGTATTATGCACAGGCTGGGCAGAGCCAGCCAAAGCTAATGATAATAATAGTTATGGCGATCAGCCTTGTTTTCACTGTGCAGTATATTCTGTGAAGCGCTTTGAGACGACTCGAAGACATGATAAAGCGCTATTTCAAATACAAGGTATTACTGTATTTGACACTTATCACATGATCACGTTATCACGTCGTCGAGATATCTCAAAGCACTTTGCGGAATTTACTGTATGTTTTGCGGCCGTTACTTGTTATACAAACAAAATTCTCAACAAAACATACGGTCAAAACACTTGATAGCAAGTCCTGTGAAGCGCTTTGAGACGTCCTGCCGAGGCCGGCATTAGATCATTATTCTCTCCCTGATACACCTCAATGTGGAGCCTGTGGTTCAGTGGTGACAGCACTCGCCTCGCAAGCGGGAGAACTGGGTTCTATTGCGGGCAGAGCGAAATGTTGGGCACATTTACTTCCTCCACACGCCTGTGTAGCCTCGCAGTTTGCAGGAAGCCGGGCATTAGTGATTGGTGGATCACTTTTCCTGGTATAATAATCTGTAAAAAAAAATAATAATTTGTTCACTCGATCCACGACTGTTTGTGGGACACTGCTGTGCGCAATTGGCTGCTGCGTTTCACCCACAATTAGACAGTCAATTAAGTTTACAGTATATTCTGTGAAGCGCTTTGAGATGTCTAGAAGACGTGAGAAGCGCTATCTCAAATATAAAGATTAGTATTATTATTAATGTTCATTTTTAAACTCATTTTCTATTGCAGTTTACACAATGGGAATTGAAAATGTGGAGGCACAAGGTTAGTGTCTGTCGTCTGAGAATCTGTACAAGGGAGAAGGGAATAGAGGGTAAAGGAGAGGGGAGGAGGAGACTTGAGGGGGATATAGACACCAGCATGAACTGGGGCGCAGTAACCTCCTGCTGGGACTTTATCCCAACTTCCTGTCATCATTCAAACTGAAGTGCCCACCAGTGGGGAAATCACTCTGGAATAGAATTGAACATTAAAAGGACACATTTGGGGGAATGTCAAACAACTTCACAAAGTCTATAGTAAACAACAACAACTTGCATTTATATAGCGCTCTTCACCGCGGGAAACGTCTCAGAACAACAACAAGTAATTGGATTTACAAATAGCGCCTTTCACGCCGGGAGGACGTCCCAAGGCACTGGACAATGAGGGGTTGGCACCTGAGCTGCAGGTTGGGATCAGGGAGAGGTGGGGATTTTCAGTCCGTAGTATTCCAGGGCATTCACTGCTGATGACAGCACAGCCGAGCCGGGCTCATTGGCACGATCAGGAAAGGCAGACCAGTCACTGGGGGCATGGAGTCATCCCACTCAGCTCCTGTTAACCCTGCAAGTCAATATCCTAACGGGTCGGGTGGTCCGAGCTGGACAAACAGTGGGAAAGCTTGCCAGGCAGCACTACCAATGGCAAGCTGTGTGGATTTAGCTGGTTAGATCCAGCAGTTACCCCAACGAACACTCTGGGGTCTCAGGCCTTGGCTCTTGCCAACCTGCGCCTAATGCTTTCCGGAATTGGTGAGCAGGAGGCGTTCCTCTGGGAAGAGAGTGCGCATTCCATTCCAACAAGCTATCTCTGGGATTGCCATTTGTAGGGATGAATGAAAATCTCAGTTTAGTTTGTGCTCTTAAGCACAATGATGGGTTTCTGCAGGTGTCAGACACGCGGCTGACCAGAAAAAACCCTCAGAGAATGACTGGTGCTATCAGGCACTGCGCTGAATGATTGTCTTTTTTATTCTGTTCTTTTTAGAACGACTGCCAAAGCCGACCCTGACCGTGGATCCCCCGTCAGGTGCTGTAACACTGGGCGACAATGTGACACTCACCTGTGCAGCTCCACAACACACTCCTGGGATGAGATTCTTTTTATACAAAGATGGTGCTATAGCATTACAGGAAACAACATTAGGAAATGTACCTGAGGTTGTTTTCCAGATCACAGGAGTCAACTTCCAGAATAGCGGTGATTACTACTGTCTGTATGACATTGAGAGTTCACCAGGTGGGAGCGCGATATCATCAAAAGGCAGTGACAATGTGAAGATAACAGTTGAAGGTCCGTGAGTTTCCTGTTTCTCTCCATTGTTTGTGTCTCTGACCCCCTCCCCCACCCCCCAGTCACTGGGGACTGAGAATCACCCCCCGCGCTCACCCTGGACAGGGGGAAAGTGTGAGTCTGAGCATCAAACAGTGGCTTGTGAAGCTGTTATATCAGTTTGGGTGTAAACGTTTGAGAGAACGACTGATGCCGTCACAGACACTGAGCTGAATGATTGGCTTTTTATTCTGTTCTTTTTAGAACGAGCACCAAAGCCGACCCTGACCGTGGATCCCCCGTCAGGTCCTGTAACCCTGGGAGGCAATGTGACATTCACCTGCACCGCTCCACAACACACACCTGGGATGAGATTTAAGTTATACAAAGACGATGCAGTTTCCTCACAGATCACCGGTCCAGTACATGTACCTGAGGCTGTTTTCCAGATCACAGGAATCACCTCCCAGAATGATGGGCGTTACCACTGTGTGTATGACATTCCCAGTTCAGTGTCTGACAGACAGAGAGTGTCACAAACCAGTGACCCTGTGAAGCTAACGGTTCGAGGTCAGTGAGATTCCTGTCCCTCTCCGTTATTTGTGTCTCTCCTCTTCACCACCGCCCCCACCCACCACCGGACAGTTTGACTGACTGTCTGTCAATACGTGTGACAGGGTTTGCCCTGACCCTGGATCGGGGAGTCAGGCCTATTGCATGTTCCTTGCCCACCCTCAGCTGCCGTTCGTGGCCGCCCAGTTCCAGGTGTTAATGCAGTCTGTGTAAACCCCTCACACAAACCGGGTCAAGCCCCTCCCTGAGAGGGATTTACGAACTGCAATTAATAATAAAAATCAACTAAATTGGAAGTTTTATTTTGCTAATATCTGTTCATTCCCCTCCAGCTCCGCGGCCGGTCCTGTCCGTGTCTCCAGCCTCTGTGGTGAAGGGAGGCTCTGTCACGTTGACATGTACAGCTCCCAGCTCGGTCTCACCCTCACAGTTTACACTGTACCGCGAGGATCAGCCGGTCAGACAATCACCACACACGGGGCTTGTTAAAGTCTTCGAGATCAAAGCAATAAACGCCTCAGATGAAGGAAGTTACCGCTGCAGATATCAAACTGCTCAGTCTGTGGAGTCGCTGCCCAGTCCCCGTGTGCCGCTCACTGTGAGAGGTGAGGGAGCTCCCCCTTCATGCCCCAAACAATGAATTCACACTTTGGGTGTCGTGTGTCCAACAGACATGGAAACCCATTGCCGTGAGCAGCCGAGTGTCTGACACACGCGGAAACCCACCCATGAAGATTTGGGTGAATGACCAGTTTTATTTGGGGGATTGTCAGCCTGGACCCCGGGAAAGAGAAACTCCCTTCTCTTTTCCAATAGCCCCACAGGAGAGCTTTAACGTCCACCTCGATAGGAGCTCGGTTTAATATGGCATCCGTTGGACGGTGCCTTCCACAATGCAATGCCTCTGACAGTGCGGTGTCCCCCCTCCCCCCCAGCACTGCGCTGCACTAGTGTCTCACCAAGGCCCCAACTTGGGGGCGTGACCCCACAACCCCGACTCAGAGTTCCAGTCAAGGAGCCGGACGGGCACCTCGTGGTGTGTTTCAGATGAAAGCCTCAGTGAAACACAAACTAGATTGTACCCGTGTCGTGCTCTGGGGCCCCAACACTCACCAACAACGATCTCCTGTTTCAGCTGTGGACTGGTGGCCGGTAGCGGTGGGTGTGAAGCTGAGCGTTCTCCTCCTTCTGCACCTGGTGGTGGCTGCCGTGTGGATCTGCAAAGCCAGAGGTGACGGGGCAGACACTCACACACCAGGAGTCACCCGGGAAACCTCCTGAACGGCTGAAGCTTTTTGATGATGTGTTGAAGAGCCACGGAGGGGTGTGGGGCGTGTTACCAGCCAGACGGGCGCAGGCTGGCGCTTGTCTTATATTTCAGAGTCTCTCATTGACAAAAGGAGCTCAGACTCGTCGCTGTTCAGGGGAACAGGATCTGCAAGGCAAAGCTTGTGGTTAAAGACAGTCTGTCAGGTCGTCCTCCCTACACTTGGGCCGAGAGTGAACACACATTTCCTCAGCGTGAATCTGCCGGCTTCTCTGTCCTTGTCATGTGTGGCCTGGCTCAGTCACTCCCGCTTCTGAACCACAAGGTTGTGGGGTTCAGCCCCTCCCTCCCCCAACGTCAGGGAGTTGAGCTCACAGTCTGGGCTGACGCTACAGTACAGTGTCGGGGGGTGTGGGGCTGCATTGTCGGAGGTGCCGACCTTCGAGTGAGACACCATTAAAGTGCTTCACAGAATATTACTGTGTGTTTTGTGGGCGAATGCGGCAGTTAACTTGTGCTAAGCAACAGCCCCACAAAGTGCATCTGGCAATGACGCAAAACAGACTTAAAGTGAAGTGAACAACCAATTTAATTTGGGGGATTGTTGGCCAGGAACCCGGGAAAGAGAAACTCCCTTCTCTTTTCGAACAGTGCCACGGAAGTTTGATCAGCCAGACAAGGCCTTGGTTTAATGTCTCAGTTGAAGGACGGCACCTCTGACAACGCAGCACATCCTCAGCACTGCGTTGGAGAGTCAGTTTAGATGATATAGATTTCAAGTCCCGACGTTGGTGTTGAACCCACGACCTTCTGACTCAGAGGAGAGAAAGCTACCACTGAGCCAGGCTGACACATTCCTCTTAATAAGCAGCTAATGTAGATTTCCCATCTCTGTCCTGTCTTCGCATAAAAATGTACGGCTGTCGCTCTCTCAGACAATAAACATAACTTTTCAAAGAAGCTTCAGCTTTATGTTAAAGCCAAACTGAAACTATTTCACAGGACACTGACTGCCGGGGGTGGGTGGGTGGGTGGGTGGGGGGTGTCAGCCTGATACCCACGGTGGGATGTAAAGGGGAGACGACGTAGGGAGGGATTGAGCCTGACGTGACCTCAGTGCCACGGTATACAGCAACAGGATAAAGTGTAAGAAATAGCACAGCTTCTGGAGCAAAGACACCAGGGATGGACGAGAGGTAAAAGTTAAGTCACACCCATGTTGCTGTCCATGTTATTACAACACAGAAAGAGGCCATTCAGCCCAACAAGTCCATGTCAGGGTTTATACTCCACAAAGGCCCCCACCCCTCTTAATCTTCCCCCTCACTCCTCTGTTCCCTTCTCCGTTACGTATACGTTCACTGTCCAGTGAGCGAAGGAAAACACGGCTTCCTGTTGGTAAAGGCTGAAAACCAGACTGTGAGAAACTCTCTTCTCATAGTGTCATAGCCCACCTCTGGGCGGAGCAGGAACAGGGAGACCTGGGAGTCCACATAAGCAAATCTTTGAAGGTGGCAGGACAGCTTGATAAAGCTGTTTATGTACCTGTCCTGTGCACTGAACACAAGGCTGATTGCCCTGTATTCAAAAAAGGCATAAGGTACACTCAGCTTTATAAATAGGGGCATAGAATACAACATTAAGGAGATTATGATGAACCTTTATAAAACAGTGGTTAGGCCTCAGCGAGAGACTATGTTCAGTATTGGGCACCAAACTTTACGAAGTACGTCACACATTTCAAATAGTTGCTGAAATAAATAGAGGGGAGGGAGGAGAAATGTTTTCACACAGTGAGTTGTTCAGATCTGCAATGCATTGCCTCAAAGGGAGGTGGAAGCCGATTCAATGAGTAGTTCCTCTATTGCTGTGGGATCCTGAACTCACCCTTTCCGTTCAGTCCATTGCTTGTGTTGGTCTGAGCTGCACTCAAAACGTTGTGAGACCGATGGCGGATCTGGCCAGAGGCAGGTTCCTTGCTGAAGTGTCTTTGCCGATCGCCCTCCTTGTGATGGGTGAGTGATCTCTGTGACTTTGTGTACCGCAGTCCTGAGGGTGACTGGAAAGGCCAGAGCGGGCACAAGCTCCTGTTGTTGGCCGGTGTCTCATCAGTTGGTTTCCTTGTCTTCCTTCCAGACCTGCCCCTCCTTGTCTCAGGGTGCATTGGTTTCAGTGAGGCTCTCATGGGATTGCTCCGGGTCCAGGGACACTGCGGTTGAAGCGGGAGCTCGCCAGTGCCGGGCCTCTTGCCAGAGCCATTCCAAATGGTGAGGGTTTGGAAAAGAGTCATGAGACCCCTCACACTGACAGGAAACAGGGGGAGGGGAGGTGAGCAGCAGCCAGGATCGAGTTCATGCCTGAGGCCAGGACAGAGCACACTGTCAGGTGTACATATATCACCAGAGACACCAGAGCTGAGAAAACTGTTTGAAACTGACAGACAGACAGTCGACCGACTGACATTCGCTTCCCGTCACCGTGTCACTAACTTCCCTTTGTTATTTCTGATACATCCTAAACTCTCACAGTTCCTTTCCACAGTTAATATTAGAGACAATGTGGCCGATGCTCTTTGGGGGACAGTGGGTTCCCATAGGAGGAAACGCAGCGTTGTGTTTAAGAGTCTCCAAACCAGACTGAGAGTTCACATATGTCCGCCACCTAAACATGGAAATATCCCTGTGACTGGAATAGAATGTGCGCTCTCTCTCTCTCTTTCTCTCCCCCCGGAGGAACTCACACTGTTCACCTAATTCCGACAGTATTATGCACAGGCTGGCAGAGCCAGCCAAAGCTAATGATAATAATAGTTATGGCGATCAGCCTTGTTTTCACTGTGCAGTATATTCTGTGAAGCGCTTTGAGACGACTCGAAGACATGATAAAGCGCTATTTCAAATACAAGGTCTTACTGTATTTGACACTTACCACATGATCATGTTATCAGTTCGTCGAGATATCTCAAAGCACTTTGCGGAATTTACTGTGTGTTTTGCGGCCGTTACTTGTTATACGAACAAAATTCTCAACAAAACACACGGTCAGAACACTTGATAGCAAATCCTGTGAAGCGCTTTGAGACGTCCTGCCGAGGCCGGCATTAGATCATTATACACCCTGATACACCTCAATGTGGAGCCTGTGGTTCAGTGGTGACAGCACTCGCCTCGCAAGCGGGAGAACTGGGTTCTATTGCGGGCAGAGCGAAATGTTGGGCACATTTACTTCCTCCACACGCCTGTGTAGCCTCGCAGTTTGCAGGAACCCGGGCATTAGTGATTGGTGGATCACTTTTCCTGGTATAATAATCTGTAAAAAAAATAATAATTTGTTCACTCGATCCACGACTGTTTGTGGGACACTGCTGTTCGCAATTGGCTGCTGCGTTTCACCCACAATTAGACAGTCAACTAACTTTACAGTATATTCTGTGAAGCGCTTTGAGATGTCTAGAAGTGAGAAGCGCTATCTCAAATGTAAAGATTAGTATTATTAATAATGTACATTTTTAAACTCATTTTCTATTGCAGTTTACACAATGGGAATTGAAAATGTGGAGGCACAAGGTTAGTGTCTGTCGTCTGAGAATCTGTAACAAGGGAGAAGGGAATAGAGGGTAAAGGAGAGGGGAGGAGGAGACTGAGGGGGATAAGACACCAGCATGAACTGGGGCTCAGTAACCTCCTGCTGGGACTTTATCCCAACTTCCTGTCATCATTCAAACTGAAGTGCCCACCAGTGGGGAAATCATCTGGAATAGAATTGAACATTAAAAGGACACATTTGGGAGATGTCAAACAACTTCGCAAAGTTTATAGTAAACGACAACAACTTGCATTTATATAGCGCTCTTCACCGCGGGAAACGTCTCAGAACAACAACAAGTAATTGGATTACAAATAGCGCCTTTCACGCCGGGAGGACGTCCAAGGCACTGGACAATGAGGGGTTGGCACCTGAGCTGCAGGTTGGATCAGGGAAGGTGGGGATTTTCAGTCCGTAGTATTCCAGGGCATTCACTGCTGATGACAGCACAGCCGAGCCGGGCTCATTGGCACGATCAGGAAAGGCAGACCAGTCACTGGGGGCATGGAGTCATCCCACTCAGCTCCTGTTAACCCTGCAAGTCAATATCCTAACGGGTCGGGTGGTCCGAGCTGGACAAACAGTGGGAAAGCTTGCCAGGCAGCACTACCAATGGCAAGCTGTTGGTTTAGCTGGTTAGATCCAGCAGTTACCCCAACGAACACTCTGGGGTCTCAGGCCTTGGCTCTTGCCAACCTGCGCCTAATGCTTTCCGGAAGGTGAGCAGGAGGCGTTCCTCTGGGAAAAGAGTGCGCATTCCATTCCAACAAGCTATCTCTGGGATTGCCATTTGTAGGGATGAATGAAAATCTCAGTTTAGTTTGTGCTCTTAAGCACAATGATGGGTTTCTGCAGGTGTCAGACACGCGGCTGACCAGAAAAAACCCTCAGAGAATGACTGGTGCTATCAGGCACTGCGCTGAATGATTGTCTTTTTTATTCTGTTCTTTTTAGAACGACTGCCAAAGCCGACCCTGACCGTGGATCCCCCGTCAGGTGCTGTAACACTGGGCGATGTGACACTCACCTGTGCAGCTCCACAACACACTCCTGGGATGAGATTCTTTTTATACAAAGATGGTGCTATAGCATTACAGGAAACAACATTAGGAAATGTACCTGAGGGTGTTTTCCAGATCACAGGAGTCAAGTTCCAGAATAGCGGTGATTACTACTGTCTGTATGACATTGAGAGTTCACCAGGTGGGAGTGCGATATCATCAAAAGGCAGTGACAATGTGAAGATAACAGTTGAAGGTCCGTGAGTTTCCTGTTTCTCTCCATTGTTTGTGTCTCTGACCCCTCCCCCACCCCCCAGTCACTGGGGACTGAGAATCACCCCCCCGCTCACCCTGGACAGGGGGAAAGTGTGAGTCTGAGCATCAAACAGTGGCTTGTGAAGCTGTTATATCAGTTTGGGTGTAAACGTTTGAGAGAACGACTGATGCCGTCACAGACACTGAGCTGAATGATTGGCTTTTTATTCTGTTCTTTTTAGAACGAGCACCAAAGCCGACCCTGACCGTGGATCCCCCGTCAGGTCCTGTAACCCTGGGAGGCAATGTGACATTCACCTGCAGCTCCACAACACACACCTGGATGAGATTTAAGTTATACCAAAGACGATGCAGTTTCCTCACAGATCACCGGTCCAGTAATGTACCTGAGCTGTTTTCCAGATCACAGGAATCACCTCCCAGAATGATGGGCGTTACCACTGTGTGTATGACATTCCCAGTTCAGTGTCTGACAGACAGAGAGTGTCACAAACCAGTGACCCTGTGAAGCTAACGTTCAAGGTCAGTGAGATTCCTGTCCTCTCGTTATTTGTGTCTCTCCTCTTCACCACCGCCCCCCCACCACCACCGGACAGTCTGACTGACTGTCTGTCAATAAAACGTGTGACAGGGTTTGCCCTGACCTGGATCGGGGAGTCAGGCCTATTGCATGTTCCTTGCCCACCCTCAGCTGCCGTTCGTGGCCGCCCAGTTCCAGGTGTTAATGCAGTCTGTGTAAACCCCTCACACAAACCGGTCAAGCCCTCCCTGAGAGGGATTTACGAACTGCAATTAATAATAAAAATCTACTAAATTGGAAGTTTTATTTTGCTAATATCTGTTCATTCCCCTCCAGCTCCGCGGCCGGTCCTGTCCGTGTCTCCAGCCTCTGTGGTGAAGGGAGGCTCTGTCACGTTGACATGTACAGCTCCCAGCTCGGTCTCACCCTCACAGTTTACACTGTACCGCGAGGATCAGCCGGTCAGACAATCACCACACACGGGGCTTGTTAAAGTCTTCGAGATCAAAGCAATAAACGCCTCAGATGAAGGAAGTTACCGCTGCAGATATCAAACTGCTCAGTCTGTGGAGTCGCTGCCCAGTCCCCGTGTGCCGCTCACTGTGAGAGGTGAGGGAGCTCCCCCTTCATGCCCCAAACAATGAATTCACACTTTGGGTGTCGTGTGTCCAACAGACATGGAAACCCATGCCGTGAGCAGCCGAGTGTCTGACACACGCGGAAACCCACCCATGAAGATTTGGTGAATGACCAGTTTTATTTGGGGATTGTCAGCCTGGACCCGGGAAAGAGAAACTCCCTTCTCTTTTCCAATAGCCCCACAGGAGAGCTTTAACGTCCACCTCGACAGGAGCTCGGTTTAATATGGCATCCGTTGGACGGTGCCTTCCACAATGCAATGCCTCTGACAGTGCGGTGTCCCCCCTCCCCCCCAGCACTGCGCTGCACTAGTGTCTCACCAAGGCCCCAACTTGGGGGCGTGACCCCACGACCCCCTGACTCAGAGTTCCAGTCAAGGAGCCGGACGGGAACCTAGTGGTGTGTTTCAGATGAAAGCCTCAGTGAAACACAAACTAGATTGTACCCGTGTCGTGCTCTGGGGCCCCAACACTCACCAACAACGATCTTCCTGTTTCAGCTGTGGACTGGTGGCCGTAGCGGTGGGTGTGAAGCTGAGCGTTCTCCTCCTTCTGCACCTGGTGGTGGCTGCCGTGTGGATCTGCAAAGCCAGAGGTGACGGGGCAGACACTCACACACCAGGAGTCACCCGGGAAACCTCCTGAACGGCTGAAGCTTTTTGATGATGTGTTGAAGAGCCACGGAGGGGTGTGGGGCGTGTTACCAGCCAGACGGGCGCAGGCTGGCGCTTGTCTTATATTTCAGAGTCTCTCATTGACAAAAGGAGCTCAGACTCGTCGCTGTTCAGGGGAACAGGATCTGCAAGGCAAAGCTTGTGGTTAAAGACAGTCTGTCAGGTCGTCCTCCCTTCACTTGGGCCGAGAGTGAACACACATTTCCTCACCGTGAATCTGCCGGCTTCTCTGTCCTTGTCATGTGTGGCCTGGCTCAGTCACTCCCGCTTCTGAACCACAAGGTTGTGGGTTCAGCCCCTCCCTCCCCCCAACGTCAGGAGTTGAGCTCACAGTCTGGGCTGACGCTACAGTACAGTGTCGGGGGTGTGGGGCTGCATTGTCGGAGGTGCCGACCTTCGGTGAGACACCATTAAAGTGCTTCACAGAATATTACTGTGTGTTTTGTGGGCGAATGCGGCAGTTAACTTGTGCTCAGCAACAGCCCCACATAGTGCATTTGGCAATGACGCAAAACAGACTTAAAGTGAAGTGAACAACCAATTTAATTTGGGGATTGTTGGCCAGGAACCCGGGAAAGAGAAACTCCCTTCTCTTTTCGAACAGTGCCACGGAAGTTTTGATCAGCCAGACAAGGCCTTGTTTAATGTCTCAGTTGAAGGACGGCACCTCTGACAATGCAGCACATCCTCAGCACTGTGTTGGAGAGTCAGTTTAGATGATATAGATTTCAAGTCCCGACGTTGGTCTTGAACCCACGACCTTCTGACTCAGAGGAGAGAAAGCTACCACTGAGCCAGGCTGACACATTCCTCTTAATAAGCAGCTAATGTAGATTTCCCATCTCTGTTCTGTCTTCGCATAAAAATGTATGGCTGTCGCTCTCTCAGACAATAAACATAACTTTTCAAAGAAGCTTCAGCTTTATGTTAAAGCCAAACTGAAACTATTTCACAGGAACACTGGACTGCCGGGTGGGTGGGTGGGTGGGTGGGTGGGGGGTGTCAGCCTGATACCCACGGTGGGATGTAAAGGGGAGACGACGTAGGGAGGGATTGAGCCTGACGTGACCTCAGTGACACGGTATCCAGCAACAGGATAAAGTGTAAGAAATAGCACAGCTTCTGGAGCAAAGACACCAGGGATGGACGAGAGGTAAAAGGTAAGTCACACCCATGTTGCTGTCCATGTTATTACAATGCTTCACACCAGAAAGAAGGCCATTCAGCATCCCAGACAAGTGCCCCTGACGTGGCTTTATATGACGGTTTGTACTCCACAAAGGCCCCCACCCCTCCAATCCTCCCCTCACTCCTCTGTTCCCTTCTCCGTTACGTATACGTTCACTGTCCAGTGAGCGAAGGAAAACACGGCTTCCTGTTGGTAAAGGCTGAAAACCAGACTGTGAGAAACTCTCTTCTCATAGTCTCATAGCCCACCTCTGGCGGAGCAGGAACAGGAGACCTGGGAGTCCACATAAGCAAATCTTTGAAGGTGGCAGGACAGCTTGATAAAGCTGTTTATGTACCTGTCCTGTGCACTGAACACAAGGCTGATTGCCCTGTATTCAAAAAAGGCATAAGGTACACTCAGCTTTATAAATAGGGGCATAGAATACAACATTAAGGAGATTATGATGAACCTTTATAAAACTGTGGTTAGGCCTCAGCGAGAGACTGTGTTCAGTCTTGGGCACCAAACTTTACGAAGTACGTCACACATTGCAAATAGTTGCTGAAATAAATAGAGGGGAGGGGAGGAGAAATGTTTTCACACAGTGAGTTGTTCAGATCTGCAATTCATTGCCTGAAACGATGTTGGAAGCCGATTAAATCGGCAGTTCCTCTATTGCTGTGTGGATCCTGAACTCACCCTTTCCGTTCAGTCCGTTGCTTGTGTTGGTCTGAGCTGCACTCAAAACGTTGTGAGACCGATGGCGGATCTGGCCAGAGGCAGGTTCCTTGCTGAAGTGTCTTTGGCCCGATCGCCCTCCTTGTGATGGGTGAGTGATCTCTGTGACTTTGTGTACCGCAGTCCTGAGGGTGACTGGAAAGGCCAGAGCGGGCACAAGCTCCTGTTGTTGGCCGGTGTCTCATCAGTTGATTTCCTTGTCTTCCTTCCAGACCTTCACCTAATTCCGGACAGTATTATGCACAGGCTGGGCAGAGCCAGCCAAAGCTAATGATAATAATAGTTATGGCGATCAGCCTTGTTTTCACTGTGCAGTATATTCTGTGAAGCGCTTTGAGACGACTCGAAGACATGATAAAGCGCTATTTCAAATACAAGGTATTACTGTATTTGACACTTATCACATGATCACGTTATCAGGTCGTCGAGATATCTCAAAGCACTTTGCGGAATTTACTGTATGTTTTGCGGCCGTTACTTTTTATACGAACAAAATTCTCAACAAAACATACGGTCAAAACACTTGATAGCAAGTCCTGTGAAGCGCTTTGAGACGTCCTGCCGAGGCCGGCATTAGATCATTATTCTCTCCCTGATACACCTCAATGTGGAGCCTGTGGTTCAGTGGTGACAGCACTCGCCTCGCAAGCGGGAGAACTGGGTTCTATTGCGGGCAGAGCGAAATGTTGGGCACATTTACTTCCTCCACACGCCTGTGTAGCCTCGCAGTTTGCAGGAAGCCGGGCATTAGTGATTGGTGGATCACTTTTCCTGGTATAATAATCTGTAAAAAAAAAATAATAATTTGTTCACTCGATCCACGACTGTTTGTGGGACACTGCTGTTCGCAATTGGCTGCTGCGTTTCACCCACAATTAGACAGTCAATTAAGTTTACAGTATATTCTGTGAAGCGCTTTGAGATGTCTAGAAGACGTGAGAAGCGCTATCTCAAATATAAAGATTAGTATTATTATTAATGTTCATTTTTAAACTCATTTTCTATTGCAGTTTACACAATGGGAATTGAAAATGTGGAGGCACAAGGTTAGTGTCTGTCGTCTGAGAATCTGTACAAGGGAGAAGGGAATAGAGGGTAAAGGAGAGGGGAGGAGGAGACTTGAGGGGGATATAGACACCAGCATGAACTGGGGCTCAGTAACCTCCTGCTGGGACTTTATCCCAACTTCCTGTCATCATTCAAACTGAAGTGCCCACCAGTGGGGAAATCACTCTGGAATAGAATTGAACATTAAAAGGACACATTTGGGGGAATGTCAAACAACTTCAGCAAAGTCTATAGTAAACAACAACAACTTGCATTTATATAGCGCTCTTCACCGCGGGAAACGTCTCAGAACAACAACAAGTAATTGGATTTACAAATAGCGCCTTTCACGCCGGGAGGACGTCCCAAGGCACTGGACAATGAGGGGTTGGCACCTGAGCTGCAGGTTGGGATCAGGGAGAGGTGGGGATTTTCAGTCCGTAGTATTCCAGGGCATTCACTGCTGATGACAGCACAGCCGAGCCGGGCTCATTGGCACGATCAGGAAAGGCAGACCAGTCACTGGGGGCATGGAGTCATCCCACTCAGCTCCTGTTAACCCTGCAAGTCAATATCCTAACGGGTCGGGTGGTCCGAGCTGGACAAACAGTGGGAAAGCTTGCCAGGCAGCACTACCAATGGCAAGCTGTGTGGATTTAGCTGGTTAGATCCAGCAGTTACCCCAACGAACACTCTGGGGTCTCAGGCCTTGGCTCTTGCCAACCTGCGCCTAATGCTTTCCGGAATTGGGTGAGCAGGAGGCGTTCCTCTGGGAAGAGAGTGCGCATTCCATTCCAACAAGCTATCTCTGGGATTGCCATTTGTAGGGATGAATGAAAATCTCAGTTTAGTTTGTGCTCTTAAGCACAATGATGGGTTTCTGCAGGTGTCAGACACGCAGCTGACCAGAAAACCCTCAGAGAATGACTGGTGCTATCAGGCACTGCGCTGAATGATTGTCTTTTTTATTCTGTTCTTTTTAGAACGACTGCCAAAGCCGACCCTGACCGTGGATCCCCCGTCAGGTGCTGTAACACTGGGCGACAGTGTGACACTCACCTGTGCAGCTCCACAACACACTCCTGGGATGAGATTCTTTTTATACAAAGATGGTGCTGCAGCATTACAGGAAACAACATTAGGAAATGTACCTGAGGGTGTTTTCCAGATCACAGGAGTCAACTTCCAGAATAGCGGTGATTACTTCTGTGTGTATGACATTGAGAGTTCACCAGGTGGGAGCGCGATAACATCAAAAGGCAGTGACAATGTGAAGATAACAGTTGAAGGTCCGTGAGTTTCCTGTTTCTCTCCATTGTTTGTGTCTCTGACCCCCTCCCCCACCCCCCAGTCACTGGGGACTGAGAATCACCCCCCGCGCTCACCCTGGACAGGGGGAAAGTGTGAGTCTGAGCATCAAACAGTGGCTTGTGAAGCTGTTATATCAGTTTGGGTGTAAACGTTTGAGAGAACGACTGATGCCGTCACAGACACTGAGCTGAATGATTGGCTTTTTATTCTGTTCTTTTTAGAACGAGCACCAAAGCCGACCCTGACCGTGGATCCCCCGTCAGGTCCTGTAACCCTGGGAGGCAATGTGACATTCACCTGCACCGCTCCACAACACACACCTGGGATGAGATTTAAGTTATACAAAGACGATGCAGTTTCCTCACAGATCACCGGTCCAGTACATGTACCTGAGGCTGTTTTCCAGATCACAGGAATCACCTCCCAGAATGATGGGCGTTACCACTGTGTGTATGACATTCCCAGTTCAGTGTCTGACAGACAGAGAGTGTCACAAACCAGTGACCCTGTGAAGCTAACGGTTCGAGGTCAGTGAGATTCCTGTCCCTCTCCGTTATTTGTGTCTCTCCTCTTCACCACCGCCCCCCACCCACCACCGGACAGTCTGACTGACTGTCTGTCAATAAGACGTGTGACAGGGTTTGCCCTGACCCTGGATCGGGGAGTCAGGCCTATTGCATGTTCCTTGCCCACCCTCAGCTGCCGTTCGTGGCCGCCCAGTTCCAGGTGTTAATGCAGTCTGTGTAAACCCCTCACACAAACCGGGTCAAGCCCCTCCCTGAGAGGGATTTACGAACTGCAATTAATAATAAAAATCAACTAAATTGGAAGTTTTATTTTGCTAATATCTGTTCATTCCCCTCCAGCTCCGCGGCCGGTCCTGTCCGTGTCTCCAGCCTCTGTGGTGAAGGGAGGCTCTGTCACGTTGACATGTACAGCTCCCAGCTCGGTCTCACCCTCACAGTTTACACTGTACCGCGAGGATCAGCCGGTCAGACAATCACCACACACGGGGCTTGTTAAAGTCTTCGAGATCAAAGCAATAAACGCCTCAGATGAAGGAAGTTACCGCTGCAGATATCAAACTGCTCAGTCTGTGGAGTCGCTGCCCAGTCCCCGTGTGCCGCTCACTGTGAGAGGTGAGGGAGCTCCCCCTTCATGCCCCAAACAATGAATTCACACTTTGGGTGTCGTGTGTCCAACAGACATGGAAACCCATTGCCGTTAGCAGCCGAGTGTCTGACACACGCGGAAACCCACCCATGAAAATTTGGTGAATGACCAGTTTTATTTGGGGGATTGTCAGCCTGGACCCCGGGAAAGAGAAACTCCCTTCTCTTTTCCAATAGCCCCACAGGAGAGCTTTAACGTCCACCTCGACAGGAGCTCGGTTTAATATGGCATCCGTTGGACGGTGCCTTCCACAATGCAATGCCTCTGACAGTGCGGTGTCCCCCCTCCCCCCCAGCACTGCGCTGCACTAGTGTCTCACCAAGGCCCCAACTTGGGGGCGTGACCCCACGAACCCCTGACTCAGAGTTCCAGTCAAGGAGCCGGACGGGCACCTTGTGGTGTCCAGATGAAAGCCTCAGTGAAACACAAACTAGATTGTACCCGTGTCGTGCTCTGGGGCCCCAACACTCACCAACAACGATCTCCTGTTTCAGCTGTGGACTGGTGGCCGGTAGCGGTGGGTGTGAAGCTGAGCGTTCTCCTCCTTCTGCACCTGGTGGTGGCTGCCGTGTGGATCTGCAAAGCCAGAGGTGACGGGGCAGACACTCACACACCAGGAGTCACCCGGGAAACCTCCTGAACGGCTGAAGCTTTTTGATGATGTGTTGAAGAGCCACGGAGGGGTGTGGGGCGTGTTACCAGCCAGACGGGCGCAGGCTGGCGCTTGTCTTATATTTCAGAGTCTCTCATTGACAAAAGGAGCTCAGACTCGTCGCTGTTCAGGGGAACAGGATCTGCAAGGCAAAGCTTGTGGTTAAAGACAGTCTGTCAGGTCGTCCTCCCTACACTTGGGCCGAGAGTGAACACACATTTCCTCAGCGTGAATCTGCCGGCTTCTCTGTCCTTGTCATGTGTGGCCTGGCTCAGTCACTCCCGCTTCTGAACCACAAGGTTGTCCCCCCAACGTCAGGGAGTTGAGCTCACAGTCTGGGCTGACGCTACAGTACAGTGTCGGGGGGTGTGGGGCTGCATTGTCGGAGGTGCCGACCTTCGGGTGAGACACCATTAAAGTGCTTCACAGAATATTACTGTGTGTTTTGTGGGCGAATGCGGCAGTTAACTTGTGCTCAGCAACAGCCCCACATAGTGCATTTGGCAATGACGCAAAACAGACTTAAAGTGAAGTGAACAACCAATTTAATTTGGGGGATGTTGGCCAGGAACCCGGGAAAGAGAAACTCCCTTCTCTTTTCGAACAGTGCCACGGAAGTTTGATCAGCCAGACAAGGCCTTGGTTTAATGTCTCAGTTGAAGGACGGCACCTCTGACAATGCAGCACATCCTCAGCACTGTGTTGGAGAGTCAGTTTTGATGATATAGATTTCAAGTCCGACGTTGGTGTTGAACCCACGACCTTCTGACTCAGAGGAGAGAAAGCTACCACTGAGCCAGGCTGACACATTCCTCTTAATAAGCAGCTAATGTAGATTTCCCATCTCTGTCCTGTCTTCGCATAAAAATGTACGGCTGTTGCTCTCTCAGACAATAAACATAACTTTTCAAAGAAGATTCAGCTTTATGTTAAAGCCAAACTGAAACTATTTCACAGGACACTGACTGCCGGTGGTGGGTGGATGGGTGGGTGGGGGGTGTCAGCCTGATACCCACAGTGGGATGTAAAGGGGAGACGACGTAGGGAGGGATTGAGCCTGACGTGACCTCAGTGACACGGTATCCAGCAACAGGATAAAGTGTAAGAAATAGCACAGCTTCTGGAGCAAAGGCACCAGGGATGGACGAGAGGTAAAAGTCGCACCTATGTTGCTGTCCATCTTATTACAAAGGCTGTACGACACAGAAAGAGGCCATTCAACCCAACAAGTGCGTGCCAGGGTTTATACTTCACACAGGCCCCCACCCCTCCCAATCCTCCCGCTCACACCTCTGTTCCCTTCTCTGTCACGTATACGTTCACTGTCCAGTGAGCGAAGGAAAACACGGCTTCCTGTTGGTAAAGGCTGAAAACCAGACTGTGAGAAACTCTCTTCTCATAGTCTCATAGCCCACCTCTGGGCGGAGCAGGAACAGGGAGACCTGGGAGTCCACATAAGCAAATCTTTGAAGGTGGCAGGACAGCTTGATAAAGCTGTTTATGTACCTGTCCTGTGCACTGAACACAAGGCTGATTGCCCTGTATTCAAAAAAGGCATAAGGTACACTCAGCTTTATAAATAGGGGCATAGAATACAACATTAAGGAGATTATGATGAACCTTTATGAAACTGTGGTGAGGCCTCAGCGAGAGACTGTGTGCAATCTTGGGCACCACACTTTACGAAGTACGTCACACATTGCAAATAGTTGCTGAAATAAATAGAGGGGAGGGGAGGAGAAATGTTTTCACACAGTGAGTTGTTCAGATCTGCAATTCATTGCCTGAAAGGGAGGTGGAAGCCGATTAAATCAGCAGTTCCTCTATTGCTGTGCGGATCCTGAACTCACCCTTTCCGTTCAGTCCGTTGTTTGTGTTGGTCTGAGCTGCACTCAAAACGTTGTGAGACCGATGGCGGATCTGGCCAGAGGCAGGTTCCTTGCTGAAGTGTCTTTGCCGATCGCCCTCCTTGTGATGGGTGAGTGATCTCTGTGACTTTGTGTACCGCAGTCCTGAGGGTGACTGGAAAGGCCAGAGCGGGCACAAGCTCCTGTTGTTGGCCGGTGTCTCATCAGTTGATTTCCTTGTCTTCCTTCCAGACCTTCACCTAATTCCGGACAGTATTATGCACAGGCTGGGCAGAGCCAGCCAAAGCTAATGATAATAATAGTTATGGCGATCAGCCTTGTTTTCACTGTGCAGTATATTCTGTGAAGCGCTTTGAGACGACTCGAAGACATGATAAAGCGCTATTTCAAATACAAGGTATTACTGTATTTGACACTTATCACATGATCACGTTATCAGGTCGTCGAGATATCTCAAAGCACTTTGCGGAATTTACTGTATGTTTTGCGGCCTTTACTTGTTATACGAACAAAATTCTCAACAAAACATACGGTCAAAACACTTGATAGCAAATCCTGTGAAGCGCTTTGAGACGTCCTGCCGAGGCCGGCATTAGATCATTATTCTCTCCCTGATACACCTCAATGTGGAGCCTGTGGTTCAGTGGTGACAGCACTCGCCTCGCAAGCGGGAGAACTGGGTTCTATTGCGGGCAGAGCGAAATGTTGGGCACATTTACTTCCTCCACACGCCTGTGTAGCCTCGCAGTTTGCAGGAAGCCGGGCATTAGTGATTGGTGGATCACTTTTCCTGGTATAATAATCTGTAAAAAAAATAATAATTTGTTCACTCGATCCACGACTGTTTGTGGGACACTGCTGTGCGCAATTGGCTGCTGCGTTTCACCCACAATTAGACAGTCAATTAAGTTTACAGTATATTCTGTGAAGCGCTTTGAGATGTCTAGAAGACGTGAGAAGCGCTATCTCAAATATAAAGATTAGTATTATTATTAATGTTCATTTTTAAACTCATTTTCTATTGCAGTTTACACAATGGGAATTGAAAATGTGGAGGCACAAGGTTAGTGTCTGTCGTCTGAGAATCTGTACAAGGGAGAAGGGAATAGAGGGTAAAGGAGAGGGGAGGAGGAGACTTGAGGGGGATATAGACACCAGCATGAACTGGGGCTCAGTAACCTCCTGCTGGGACTTTATCCCAACTTCCTGTCATCATTCAAACTGAAGTGCCCACCAGTGGGGAAATCACTCTGGAATAGAATTGAACATTAAAAGGACACATTTGGGGGAATGTCAAACAACTTCACAAAGTCTATAGTAAACAACAACAACTTGCATTTATATAGCGCTCTTCACCGCGGGAAACGTCTCAGAACAACAACAAGTAATTGGATTTACAAATAGCGCCTTTCACGCCGGGAGGACGTCCCAAGGCACTGGACAATGAGGGGTTGGCACCTGAGCTGCAGGTTGGGATCAGGGAGAGGTGGGGATTTTCAGTCCGTAGTATTCCAGGGCATTCACTGCTGATGACAGCACAGCCGAGCCGGGCTCATTGGCACGATCAGGAAAGGCAGACCAGTCACTGGGGGCATGGAGTCATCCCACTCAGCTCCTGTTAACCCTGCAAGTCAATATCCTAACGGGTCGGGTGGTCCGAGCTGGACAAACAGTGGGAAAGCTTGCCAGGCAGCACTACCAATGGCAAGCTGTGTGGATTTAGCTGGTTAGATCCAGCAGTTACCCCAACGAACACTCTGGGGTCTCAGGCCTTGGCTCTTGCCAACCTGCGCCTAATGCTTTCCGGAATTAGGTGAGCAGGAGGCGTTCCTCTGGGAAAAGAGTGCGCATTCCATTCCAACAAGCTATCTCTGGGATTGCCATTTGTAGGGATGAATGAAAATCTCAGTTTAGTTTGTGCTCTTAAGCACAATGATGGGTTTCTGCAGGTGTCAGACACGCGGCTGACCAGAAAAAACCCTTCAGAGAATGACTGGTGCTATCAGGCACTGCGCTGAATGATTGTCTTTTTTATTCTGTTCTTTTTAGAACGACTGCCAAAGCCGACCCTGACCGTGGATCCCCCGTCAGGTGCTGTAACACTGGGCGACAATGTGACATTCACCTGTGCAGCTCCACAACACACTCCTGGGATGAGATTCTTTTTATACAAAGATGGTGCTATAGCATTACAGGAAACAACATTAGGAAATGTACCTGAGGGTGTTTTCCAGATCACAGGAGTCAAGTTCCAGAATAGCGGTGATTACTACTGTCGGTATGACATTGAGAGTTCACCAGGTGGGAGCGCGAGAGTATCAGAAGGCAGTGACAATGTGAAGATAACAGATGAAGGTCCGTGAGTTTCCTGTTTCTCTCCATTGTTTGTGTCTCTGACCCCCTCCCCCACCCCCCAGTCACTGGGGACTGAGAATCACCCCCCGCGCTCACCCTGGACAGGGGGAAAGTGTGAGTCTGAGCATCAAACAGTGGCTTGTGAAGCTGTTATATCAGTTTGGGTGTAAACGTTTGAGAGAACGACTGATGCCGTCACAGACACTGAGCTGAATGATTGGCTTTTTATTCTGTTCTTTTTAGAACGAGCACCAAAGCCGACCCTGACCGTGGATCCCCCGTCAGGTCCTGTAACCCTGGGAGGCAATGTGACATTCACCTGCACCGCTCCACACACACACCTGGGATGAGATTTAAGTTATACAAAGACGATGCAGTTTCCTCACAGATCACCGGTCCAGTACATGTACCTGAGGCTGTTTTCCAGATCACAGGAATCACCTCCCAGAATGATGGGCGTTACCACTGTGTGTATGACATTCCCAGTTCAGTGTCTGACAGACAGAGAGTGTCACAAACCAGTGACCCTGTGAAGCTAACGGTTCGAGGTCAGTGAGATTCCTGTCCCTCTCCGTTATTTGTGTCTCTCCTCTTCACCACCGCCCCCCACCCACCACCGGACAGTCTGACTGACTGTCTGTCAATAAGACGTGTGACAGGGTTTGCCCTGACCCTGGATCGGGGAGTCAGGCCTATTGCATGTTCCTTGCCCACCCTCAGCTGCCGTTCGTGGCCGCCCAGTTCCAGGTGTTAATGCAGTCTGTGTAAACCCCTCACACAAACCGGGTCAAGCCCCTCCCTGAGAGGGATTTACGAACTGCAATTAATAATAAAAATCTACTAAATTGGAAGTTTTATTTTGCTAATATCTGTTCATTCCCCTCCAGCTCCGCGGCCGGTCCTGTCCGTGTCTCCAGCCTCTGTGGTGAAGGGAGGCTCTGTCACGTTGACATGTACAGCTCCCAGCTCGGTCTCACCCTCACAGTTTACACTGTACCGCGAGGATCAGCCGGTCAGACAATCACCACACACGGGGCTTGTTAAAGTCTTCGAGATCAAAGCAATAAACGCCTCAGATGAAGGAAGTTACCGCTGCAGATATCAAACTGCTCAGTCTGTGGAGTCGCTGCCCAGTCCCCGTGTGCCGCTCACTGTGAGAGGTGAGGGAGCTCCCCCTTCATGCCCCAAACAATGAATTCACACTTTGGGTGTCGTGTGTCCAACAGACATGGAAACCCATTGCCGTGAGCAGCCGAGTGTCTGACACACGCGGAAACCCACCCATGAAGATTTGGGTGAATGACCAGTTTTATTTGGGGGATTGTCAGCCTGGACCCCGGGAAAGAGAAACTCCCTTCTCTTTTCCAATAGCCCCACAGGAGAGCTTTAACGTCCACCTCGATAGGAGCTCGGTTTAATATGGCATCCGTTGGACGGTGCCTTCCACAATGCAATGCCTCTGACAGTGCGGTGTCCCCCCTCCCCCCCAGCACTGCGCTGCACTAGTGTCTCACCAAGGCCCCAACTTGGGGGCGTGACCCCACGACCCCGACTCAGAGTTCCAGTCAAGGAGCCGGACGGGCACCTCGTGGTGTGTTTCAGATGAAAGCCTCAGTGAAACACAAACTAGATTGTACCCGTGTCGTGCTCTGGGGCCCCAACACTCACCAACAACGATCTCCTGTTTCAGCTGTGGACTGGTGGCCGGTAGCGGTGGGTGTGAAGCTGAGCGTTCTCCTCCTTCTGCACCTGGTGGTGGCTGCCGTGTGGATCTGCAAAGCCAGAGGTGACGGGGCAGACACTCACACACCAGGAGTCACCCGGGAAACCTCCTGAACGGCTGAAGCTTTTTGATGATGTGTTGAAGAGCCACGGAGGGGTGTGGGGCGTGTTACCAGCCAGACGGGCGCAGGCTGGCGCTTGTCTTATATTTCAGAGTCTCTCATTGACAAAAGGAGCTCAGACTCGTCGCTGTTCAGGGGAACAGGATCTGCAAGGCAAAGCTTGTGGTTAAAGACAGTCTGTCAGGTCGTCCTCCCTACACTTGGGCCGAGAGTGAACACACATTTCCTCAGCGTGAATCTGCCGGCTTCTCTGTCCTTGTCATGTGTGGCCTGGCTCAGTCACTCCCGCTTCTGAACCACAAGGTTGTGGGGTTCAGCCCCTCCCTCCCCCCAACGTCAGGGAGTTGAGCTCACAGTCTGGGCTGACGCTACAGTACAGTGTCGGGGGGTGTGGGGCTGCATTGTCGGAGGTGCCGACCTTCGAGTGAGACACCATTAAAGTGCTTCACAGAATATTACTGTGTGTTTTGTGGGCGAATGCGGCAGTTAACTTGTGCTAAGCAACAGCCCCACAAAGTGCATCTGGCAATGACGCAAAACAGACTTAAAGTGAAGTGAACAACCAATTTAATTTGGGGGATTGTTGGCCAGGAACCCGGGAAAGAGAAACTCCCTTCTCTTTTCGAACAGTGCCACGGAAGTTTGATCAGCCAGACAAGGCCTTGGTTTAATGTCTCAGTTGAAGGACGGCACCTCTGACAACGCAGCACATCCTCAGCACTGCGTTGGAGAGTCAGTTTAGATGATATAGATTTCAAGTCCCGACGTTGGTGTTGAACCCACGACCTTCTGACTCAGAGGAGAGAAAGCTACCACTGAGCCAGGCTGACACATTCCTCTTAATAAGCAGCTAATGTAGATTTCCCATCTCTGTCCTGTCTTCGCATAAAAATGTACGGCTGTCGCTCTCTCAGACAATAAACATAACTTTTCAAAGAAGCTTCAGCTTTATGTTAAAGCCAAACTGAAACTATTTCACAGGACACTGACTGCCGGGGTGGGTGGTGGGTGGGTGGGGGGTGTCAGCCTGATACCCACGGTGGGATGTAAAGGGAGACGACGTAGGGAGGGATTGAGCCTGACGTGACCTCAGTGCCACGGTATACAGCAACAGGATAAAGTGTAAGAAATAGCACAGCTTCTGGAGCAAAGACACCAGGGATGGACGAGAGGTAAAAAGTCGCACCCATGTTGCTGTCCATCTTATTACATAGGCTGTACAACACAGAAAGAGGCCATTCAGCCCAACAAGTGTGTCAGGGTTTATACTTCACACAGGCCCCCACCCCCAATCTTCCCCCTCACACCTCTGTTCCCTTCTCCGTCACGTATACGTTCACTGTCCAGTGAGCGAAGGAAAACACGGCTTCCTGTTGGTAAAGGCTGAAAACCAGACTGTGAGAAACTCTCTTCTCATAGTCTCATAGCCCACCTCTGGGCGGAGCAGGAACAGGGAGACCTGGGAGTCCACATAAGCAAATCTTTGAAGGTGGCAGGACAGCTTGATAAAGCTGTTTATGTACCTGTCCTGTGCACTGAACACAAGGCTGATTGCCCTGTATTCAAAAAAGGCATAAGGTACACTCAGCTTTATAAATAGGGGCATAGAATACAACATTAAGGAGATTATGATGAACCTTTATGAAACTGTGGTTAGACCTCAACTAGAGACTGTGTTCAGTCTTGGGCACCAAACTTTACGAAGGATCACACATTTAAAATAGTTGCTGAAATAAATAGAGGGGAGGGGAGGAGAAATGTTTTCACACAGTGAGTTGTTCAGATCTGCAATTCATTGCCTCAAAGGGAGGTGGAAGCCGATTAAATTGGCAGTTCCTCTATTGCTGTGCGGATCCTGAACTCACCCTTTCCGTTCAGTCCGTTGCTTGTGTTGGTCTGAGCTGCACTCAAAACGTTGTGAGACCGATGGCGGATCTGGCCAGAGGCAGGTTCCTTGCTGAAGTGTCTTTGCCGATCGCCCTCCTTGTGATGGGTGAGTGATCACTGTGACTTTATGTACCGCAGTCCTGAGGGTGACTGGAAAGGCCAGAGCTGGCACAAGCTCCTGTTGTTGGCTGGTGTCTCATCAGTTGGTTTCCTTGTCTTCCTTCCAGACCTGCCCCTCCTTGTCTCAGGGTGCATTGGTTTCAGTGAGGCTCTCATGGGATCGCTCCGGGTCCAGGGACACTGCGTTGAAGCGGGAGCTCTCCAGTGGCCGAGCCTCTTGTCAGAGCCATTCCAAATGGTGAGGGTTTGGGAAAGAGTCATGAGACCCCTCACACTGACAGGAAACAGGGGGAGGGGAGGTGAGCAGCAGCCAGGAACGAGTTCATGCCTGAGGCCAGGACAGAGCACACTGTCAGATGTACATATATCACCAGAGACACCAGAGCTGAGAAAACTGTTTGAAACTGACAGACAGACAGTCGACCGACTGACAATCGCCTCCCGTCACCGTGTCACTAACTTCCCTTTGTTATTTCTGATACATCCTAAACTCTCACAGTTCCCTTTTCCACAGTTAATATTAGAGACAATGTGAGCCGATGCTCTTTGGGGGACAGTGGGTTCCCATAGGAGGAAACGCAGCGTTGTGTTTAAGAGTCTCCAAACCAGACTGAGAGTTCCACATATGTCCGCCACCTAAACATGGAAATATCCCTGTGACTGGAATAGAATGTGCGCTCTCTCTCTCTCTTTCTCTCCCCCCGGAGGAACTCACACTGTTCACCTAATTCCGGACAGTATTATGCACAGGCTGGGCAGAGCCAGCCAAAGCTAATGATAATAATAGTTATGGCGATCAGCCTTGTTTTCACTGTGCAGTATATTCTGTGAAGCGCTTTGAGACGACTCGAAGACATGATAAAGCGCTATTTCAAATACAAGGTATTACTGTATTTGACACTTACCACATGATCACGTTATCAGGTCGTCGAGATATCTCAAAGCACTTTGCGGAATTTACTGTATGTTTTGCGGCCGTTACTTGTTATACGAACAAAATTCTCAACAAACACACGGTCAGAACACTTGATAGCAAATCCTGTGAAGCGCTTTGAGACGTCCTGCCGAGGCCGGCATTAGATCATTATTCTCTCCCTGATACACCTCAATGTGGAGCCTGTGGTTCAGTGGTGACAGCACTCGCCTCGCAAGCGGGAGAACTGGGTTCTATTGCGGGCAGAGCGAAATGTTGGGCACATTTACTTCCTCCACACGCCTGTGTAGCCTCGCAGTTTGCAGGAAGCCGGGCATTAGTGATTGGTGGATCACTTTTCCTGGTATAATAATCTCTAAAAAAAAATAATAATTTGTTCACTCGATCCACGACTGTTTGGGGACACTGCTGTGCGCAATTGGCTGCTGCGTTTCACCCACAATTAGACAGTCAATTAACTTTACAGTATATTCTGTGAAGCGCTTTGAGATGTCTAGAAGTGAGAAGCGCTATCTCAAATGTAAAGATTAGTATTATTATTAATGTTCCTTTTTATGAACTCATTTTCTATTGCAGTTTACACAATGGGAATTGAAAATGTGGAGGCACAAGGTTAGTGTCTGTCGTCTGAGAATCTGTACAAGGGAGAAGGGAATAGAGGGTAAAGGAGAGGGGAGGAGGAGACTTGAGGGGGATATAGACACCAGCATGAACTGGGGCTCAGTAACCTCCTGCTGGGACTTTATCCCAACTTCCTGTCATCATTCAAACTGAAGTGCCCACCAGTGGGGAAATCACTCTGGAATAGAATTGAACATTAAAAGGACACATTTGGGGGAATGTCAAACAACTTCGCAAAGTTTATAGTAAACGACAACAACTTGCATTTATATAGCGCTCTTCACCGCGGGAAACGTCTCAGAACAACAACAAGTAATTGGATTTACAAATAGCGCCTTTCACGCCGGGAGGACGTCCCAAGGCACTGGACAATGAGGGGTTGGCACCTGAGCTGCAGGTTGGGATCAGGGAGAGGTGGGGATTTTCAGTCCGTAGTATTCCAGGGCATTCACTGCTGATGACAGCACAGCCGAGCCGGGCTCATTGGCACGATCAGGAAAGGCAGACCAGTCACTGGGGGCATGGAGTCATCCCACTCAGCTCCTGTTAACCCTGCAAGTCAATATCCTAACGGGTCGGGTGGTCCGAGCTGGACAAACAGTGGGAAAGCTTGCCAGGCAGCACTACCAATGGCAAGCTGTGTGGATTTAGCTGGTTAGATCCAGCAGTTACCCCAACGAACACTCTGGGGTCTCAGGCCTTGGCTCTTGCCAACCTGCGCCTAATGCTTTCCGAAATTGGTGAGCAGGAGGCGTTCCTCTGAAAAGAGTGCGCATTCCATTCCAACAAGCTATCTCTGGGATTGCCATTTGTAGGGATGAATGAAAATCTCAGTTTAGTTTGTGCTCTTAAGCACAATGATGGGTTTCTGCAGGTGTCAGACACGCGGCTGACCAGAAAAAACCCTCAGAGAATGACTGGTGCTATCAGGCACTGCGCTGAATGATTGTCTTTTTTATTCTGTTCTTTTTAGAACGACTGCCAAAGCCGACCCTGACCGTGGATCCCCCGTCAGGTGCTGTAACACTGGGCGACAATGTGACACTCACCTGTGCAGCTCCACAACACACTCCTGGGATGAGATTCTTTTTATACAAAGATGGTGCTGCAGCATTACAGGAAACAACATTAGGAAATGTACCTGAGGGTGTTTTCCAGATCACAGGAGTCAACTTCCAGAATAGCGGTGATTACTACTGTCTGTATGACATTGAGAGTTCACCAGGTGGGAGCGCGATACATCAAAAGGCAGTGACAATGTGAAGATAACAGTTGAAGGTCCGTGAGTTTCCTGTTTCTCTCCATTGTTTGTGTCTCTGACCCCCTCCCCCACCCCCCAGTCACTGGGGACTGAGAATCACCCCCCGCGCTCACCCTGGACAGGGGGAAAGTGTGAGTCTGAGCATCAAACAGTGGCTTGTGAAGCTGTTATATCAGTTTGGGTGTAAACGTTTGAGAGAACGACTGATGCCGTCACAGACACTGAGCTGAATGATTGGCTTTTTATTCTGTTCTTTTTAGAACGAGCACCAAAGCCGACCCTGACCGTGGATCCCCCGTCAGGTCCTGTAACCCTGGGAGGCAATGTGACATTCACCTGCACCGCTCCACACACACACCTGGGATGAGATTTAAGTTATACAAAGACGATGCAGTTTCCTCACAGATCACCGGTCCAGTACATGTACCTGAGGCTGTTTTCCAGATCACAGGAATCACCTCCCAGAATGATGGGCGTTACCACTGTGTGTATGACATTCCCAGTTCAGTGTCTGACAGACAGAGAGTGTCACAAACCAGTGACCCTGTGAAGCTAACGGTTCGAGGTCAGTGAGATTCCTGTCCCTCTCCGTTATTTGTGTCTCTCCTCTTCACCACCGCCCCCACCCACCACCGGACAGTCTGACTGACTGTCTGTCAATAAGACGTGTGACAGGGTTTGCCCTGACCCTGGATCGGGGAGTCAGGCCTATTGCATGTTCCTTGCCCACCCTCAGCTGCCGTTCGTGGCCGCCCAGTTCCAGGTGTTAATGCAGTCTGTGTAAACCCCTCACACAAACCGGGTCAAGCCCCTCCCTGAGAGGGATTTACGAACTGCAATTAATAATAAAAATCAACTAAATTGGAAGTTTTATTTTGCTAATATCTGTTCATTCCCCTCCAGCTCCGCGGCCGGTCCTGTCCGTGTCTCCAGCCTCTGTGGTGAAGGGAGGCTCTGTCACGTTGACATGTACAGCTCCCAGCTCGGTCTCACCCTCACAGTTTACACTGTACCGCGAGGATCAGCCGGTCAGACAATCACCACACACGGGGCTTGTTAAAGTCTTCGAGATCAAAGCAATAAACGCCTCAGATGAAGGAAGTTACCGCTGCAGATATCAAACTGCTCAGTCTGTGGAGTCGCTGCCCAGTCCCCGTGTGCCGCTCACTGTGAGAGGTGAGGGAGCTCCCCCTTCATGCCCCAAACAATGAATTCACACTTTGGGTGTCGTGTGTCCAACAGACATGGAAACCCATTGCCGTGAGCAGCCGAGTGTCTGACACACGCGGAAACCCACCCATGAAGATTTGGGTGAATGACCAGTTTTATTTGGGGGATTGTCAGCCTGGACCCCGGGAAAGAGAAACTCCCTTCTCTTTTCCAATAGCCCCACAGGAGAGCTTTAACGTCCACCTCGACAGGAGCTCGGTTTAATATGGCATCCGTTGGACGGTGCCTTCCACAATGCAATGCCTCTGACAGTGCGGTGTCCCCCCTCCCCCCCAGCACTGCGCTGCACTAGTGTCTCACCAAGGCCCCAACTTGGGGGCGTGACCCCACAAACCCGACTCAGAGTTCCAGTTAAGGAGCCGGACGGGCACCTCGTGGTGTGTTTCAGATGAAAGCCTCAGTGAAACACAAACTAGATTGTACCCGTGTCGTGCTCTGGGGCCCCAACACTCACCAACAACGATCTCCTGTTTCAGCTGTGGACTGGTGGCCGGTAGCGGTGGGTGTGAAGCTGAGCGTTCTCCTCCTTCTGCACCTGGTGGTGGCTGCCGTGTGGATCTGCAAAGCCAGAGGTGACGGGGCAGACACTCACACACCAGGAGTCACCCGGGAAACCTCCTGAACGGCTGAAGCTTTTTGATGATGTGTTGAAGAGCCACGGAGGGGTGTGGGGCGTGTTACCAGCCAGACGGGCGCAGGCTGGCGCTTGTCTTATATTTCAGAGTCTCTCATTGACAAAAGGAGCTCAGACTCGTCGCTGTTCAGGGGAACAGGATCTGCAAGGCAAAGCTTGTGGTTAAAGACAGTCTGTCAGGTCGTCCTCCCTACACTTGGGCCGAGAGTGAACACACATTTCCTCAGCGTGAATCTGCCGGCTTCTCTGTCCTTGTCATGTGTGGCCTGGCTCAGTCACTCCCGCTTCTGAACCACAAGGTTGTGGGGTTCAGCCCCTCCCTCCCCCCAACGTCAGGGAGTTGAGCTCACAGTCTGGGCTGACGCTACAGTACAGTGTCGGGGGGTGTGGGGGCTGCATTGTCGGAGGTGCCGACCTTCGAGTGAGACACCATTAAAGTGCTTCACAGAATATTACTGTGTGTTTTGTGGGCGAATGCGGCAGTTAACTTGTGCTAAGCAACAGCCCCACAAAGTGCATCTGGCAATGACGCAAAACAGACTTAAAGTGAAGTGAACAACCAATTTAATTTGGGGGATTGTTGGCCAGGAACCCGGGAAAGAGAAACTCCCTTCTCTTTTCGAACAGTGCCACGGAAGTTTGATCAGCCAGACAAGGCCTTGGTTTAATGTCTCAGTTGAAGGACGGCACCTCTGACAACGCAGCACATCCTCAGCACTGCGTTGGAGAGTCAGTTTAGATGATATAGATTTCAAGTCCCGACGTTGGTGTTGAACCCACGACCTTCTGACTCAGAGGAGAGAAAGCTACCACTGAGCCAGGCTGACACATTCCTCTTAATAAGCAGCTAATGTAGATTTCCCATCTCTGTCCTGTCTTCGCATAAAAATGTACGGCTGTCGCTCTCTCAGACAATAAACATAACTTTTCAAAGAAGCTTCAGCTTTATGTTAAAGCCAAACTGAAACTATTTCACAGGACACTGACTGCCGGGGGTGGGTGGGTGGGTGGGTGGGTGGGGGGTGTCAGCCTGATACCCACGGTGGGATGTAAAGGGGAGACGACGTAGGGAGGGATTGAGCCTGACGTGACCTCAGTGCCACGGTATACAGCAACAGGATAAAGTGTAAGAAATAGCACAGCTTCTGGAGCAAAGACACCAGGGATGGACGAGAGGTAAAAGGTAAGTCACACCCATGTTGCTGTCCATGTTATTACAACACAGAAAGAGGCCATTCAGCCCAACAAGTCCATGTCAGGTTTGTACTCCACAAAGGCCCCCACCCCTCTTAATCTTCCCCCTCACTCCTCTGTTCCCTTCTCCGTTACGTATACGTTCACTGTCCAGTGAGCGAAGGAAAACACGGCTTCCTGTTGGTAAAGGCTGAAAACCAGACTGTGAGAAACTCTCTTCTCATAGTGTCATAGCCCACCTCTGGGCGGAGCAGGAACAGGGAGACCTGGGAGTCCACATAAGCAAATCTTTGAAGGTGGCAGGACAGCTTGATAAAGCTGTTTATGTACCTGTCCTGTGCACTGAACACAAGGCTGATTGCCCTGTATTCAAAAAAGGCATAAGGTACACTCAGCTTTATAAATAGGGGCATAGAATACAACATTAAGGAGATTATGATGAACCTTTATAAAACAGTGGTTAGGCCTCAGCGAGAGACTATGTTCAGTATTGGGCACCACACTTTACGAAGTACGTCACACATTGCAAATAGTTGCTGAAATAAATAGAGGGGAGGGGAGGAGAAATGTTTTCACACAGTGAGTTGTTCAGATCTGCAATGCATTGCCTCAAAGGGAGGTGGAAGCCGATTCAATGAGTAGTTCCTCTATTGCTGTGGGGATCCTGAACTCACCCTTTCCGTTCAGTCCATTGCTTGTGTTGGTCTGAGCTGCACTCAAAACGTTGTGAGACCGATGGCGGATCTGGCCAGAGGCAGGTTCCTTGCTGAAGTGTCTTTGCCGATCGCCCTCCTTGTGATGGGTGAGTGATCTCTGTGACTTTGTGTACCGCAGTCCTGAGGGTGACTGGAAAGGCCAGAGCGGGCACAAGCTCCTGTTGTTGGCCGGTGTCTCATCAGTTGGTTTCCTTGTCTTCCTTCCAGACCTGCCCCTCCTTGTCTCAGGGTGCATTGGTTTCAGTGAGGCCCTCATGGGATTGCTCCGGGTCCAGGGACACTATGGTTGAAGCGGGAGCTCCCCAGTGGCCGGGCCTCTTGCCAGAGCCATTCCAAATGGTGAGGGTTTGGAAAAGAGTCATGAGACCCATCACACTGACAGGAACCAGGGGGAGGGGAGGTGAGCAGCAGCCAGGAACGAGTTCATGCCTGAGGCCAGGACAGAGCACACTGTCAGATGTACATATATCACCAGAGACACCAGAGCTGAGAAAACTGTTTGAAACTGACAGACAGACAGTCGACCGACTGACAATCGCCTCCCGTCACCGTGTCACTAACTTCCCTTTGTTATTTCTGATACATCCTAAACTCTCACAGTTCCCTTTTCCACAGTTAATATTAGAGACAATGTGAGCCGATGCTCTTTGGGGGACAGTGGGTTCCCATAGGAGGAAACGCAGCGTTGTGTTTAAGAGTCTCCAAACCAGACTGAGAGTTCCACATATGTCCGCCACCTAAACATGGAAATATCCCTGTGACTGGAATAGAATGTGCGCTCTCTCTCTTTCTCTCCCCCCGGAGGAACTCACACTGTTCACCTAATTCCGGACAGTATTATGCACAGGCTGGGCAGAGCCAGCCAAAGCTAATGATAATAATAGTTATGGCGATCAGCCTTGTTTTCACTGTGCAGTATATTCTGTGAAGCGCTTTGAGACGACTCGAAGACATGATAAAGCGCTATTTCAAATACAAGGTATTACTGTATTTGACACTTACCACATGATCACGTTATCAGGTCGTCGAGATATCTCAAAGCACTTTGCGGAATTTACTGTATGTTTTGCGGCCGTTACTTCTTTTACGAACAAAATTCTCAACAAACCACAGGGTCAGAACACTTGATAGCAAATCCTGTGAAGCGCTTTGAGACGTCCTGCCGAGGCCGGCATTAGATCATTATTCTCTCCCTGATACACCTCAATGTGGAGCCTGTGGTTCAGTGGTGACAGCACTCGCCTCGCAAGCGGGAGAACTGGGTTCTATTGCGGGCAGAGCGAAATGTTGGGCACATTTACTTCCTCCACACACCTGTGTAGCCTCGCAGTTTGCAGGAAGCCGGGCATTAGTGATTGGTGGATCACTTTTCCTGGTATAATAATCTCTAAAAAAAATAATAATTTGTTCACTCGATCCACGACTGTTTGGGGGACACTGCTGTGCGCAATTGGCTGCTGCGTTTCACCCACAATTAGACAGTCAATTAACTTTACAGTATATTCTGTGAAGCGCTTTCAGATGTCTAGAAGTGAGAAGCGCTATCTCAAACGTAAAGATTAGTATTATTATTAATGTTCATTTTTAAACTCATTTTCTATTGCAGTTTACACAATGGGAATTGAAAATGTGGAGGCACAAGGTTAGTGTCTGTCGTCTGAGAATCTGTACAGGGGAGAAGGGAATAGAGGGTAAAGGAGAGGGGAGGAGGAGACTGGAGGGGGATATAGACACCAGCATGAACTGGGGCTCAGTAACCTCCTGCTGGGACTTTATCCCAACTTCCTGTCATCATTCAAACTGAAGTGCCCACCAGTGGGGAAATCACTCTGGAATAGAATTGAACATTAAAAGGACACATTTGGGGGAATGTCAAACAACTTCACAAAGTCTATAGTAAACAACAACAACTTGCAGGGATTGAGCCTGACGTGACCTCAGTGTCACGGTATCCAGCAACAGGATAAAGTGTAAGAAATAGCACAGCTTCTGGAGCAAAGGCACCAGAGATGGACGAGAGGTAAAAGTCGCACCTATGTTGCTGTCCATCTTATTACATAGGCTGTACAACACAGAAAGAAGCCATTCAGCCCAACAAGTGCGTGCCAGGGTTTATACTTCACACAGGCCCCCACTCCTCCCAATCCTCCCCCTCACACCTCTGTTCCCTTCTCTGTCACGTATACATTCACTGTCCAGTGAGCGAAGGAAAACACGGCTTCCTGTTGGTATCCTACTTTACGAAGGATGTCACACATTTAAAATAGTTGCTGAAAACCAGACTGTGAGAAACTCTCTTCTCATAGTCTTCATAGCCCACCTCTGGGCGGAGCAGGAACAGGGAGACCTGGGAGTCCACATAAGCAAATCTTTGAAGGTGGCAGGACAGCTTGATAAAGCTGTTTATGTACCTGTCCTGTGCACTGAACACAAGGCTGATTGCCCTGTATTCAAAACAGGTATAAGGTACACTCAGCTTTATAAATAGGGGCATAGAATACAACATTAAGGAGATTATGATGAACCTTTATAAAACTGTGGTTCGACCTCAACTAGAGACTGTGTTCAGTCTTGGGCACCAAACTTTACGAAGGATGTCACACATTTAAAATAGTTGCTGAAATAAATAGAGGGGAGGGGAGGAGAAATGTTTTCACACAGTGAGTTGTTCAGATCTGCAATTCATTGCCTCAAAGGGAGGTGGAAGCCGATTAAATCGGCAGTTCCTCTATTGCTGTGCGGATCCTGAACTCACCCTTTCCATTCAGTCCGTTGCTTGTGTTGGTCTGAGCTGCACTCAAAACGTTGTGAGACCGATGGCGGATCTGGCCAGAGGCAGGTTCCTTGCTGAAGTGTCTTTGCCGATCGCCCTCCTTGTGATGGGTGAGTGATCACTGTGACTTTATGTACCACAGTCCTGAGGGTGACTGGAAAGGCCAGAGCGGGCACAAGCTCCTGTTGTTGGCCGGTGTCTCATCAGTTGGTTTCCTTGTCTTCCTTCCAGACCTGCCCCTCCTTGTCTCAGGGTGCATTGGTTTCAGTGAGGCTCTCATGGGATCGCTCCGGGTCCGGGGACACTGCGGTTGAAGCGGGAGCTCTCCAGTGGCCGAGCCTCTTGTCAGAGCCATTCCAAATGGTGAGGGTTTGGAAAAGAGTCATGAGTCCCCTCACACTGACAGGAAACAGGGGGAGGGGAGGTGAGCAGCAGCGAGGAACGAGTTCATGCCTGAGGCCAGGACAGAGCACACTGTCAGGTGTACATATATCACCAGAGACACCAGAGCTGAGAAAACTGTTTGAAACTGACAGACAGACAGTCGACCGACTGACAATCGCCTCCCGTCACCGTGTCACTAACTTCCCTTTGTTATTTCTGATACATCCTAAACTCTCACAGTTCCCTTTTCCACAGTTAATATTAGAGACAATGTGAGCCGATGCTCTTTGGGGGACAGTGGGTTCCCATAGGAGGAAACGCAGCGTTGTGTTTAAGAGTCTCCAAACCAGACTGAGAGTTCCACATATGTCCGCCACCTAAACATGGAAATATCCCTGTGACTGGAATAGAATGTGCTCTCTCTCTCTCTTTCTCTCCCCCCGGAGGAACTCACACTGTTCACCTAATTCCGGACAGTATTATGCACAGGCTGGGCAGAGCCAGCCAAAGCTAATGATAATAATAGTTATGGCGATCAGCCTTGTTTTCACTGTGCAGTATATTCTGTGAAGCGCTTTGAGACGACTCGAAGACATGATAAAGCGCTATTTCAAATACAAGGTATTACTGTATTTGACACTTACCACATGATCACGTTATCAGGTCGTCGAGATATCTCAAAGCACTTTGCGGAATTTACTGTATGGTTTGCGGCCGTTACTTGTTATACGAACAAAATTCTCAACAAAACACACGGTCAGAACACTTGATAGCAAATCCTGTGAAGCGCTTTGAGACGTCCTGCCGAGGCCGGCATTAGATCATTATTCTCTCCCTGATACACCTCAATGTGGAGCCTGTGGTTCAGTGGTGACAGCACTCGCCTCGCAAGCGGGAGAACTGGGTTCTATTGCGGGCAGAGCGAAATGTTGGGCACATTTGCTTCCTCCACACGCCTGTGTAGCCTCGCAGTTTGCAGGAACCCGGGCATTAGTGATTGGTGGATCACTTTTCCTGGTATAATAATCTCTAAAAAAAATAATAATTTGTTCACTCGATCCACGACTGTTTGGGGGACACTGCTGTGCGCAATTGGCTGCTGCGTTTCACCCACAATTAGACAGTCAATTAACTTTACAGTATATTCTGTGAAGCACTTTGAGATGTCTAGAAGTGAGAAGCGCTATCTCAAATGTAAAGATTACATTTAATGTTATTAAATGTTCATTTTTAAACTCATTTTTTATTGCAGTTTACACAATGGGAATTGAAAATGTGGAGGCACAAGGTTAGTGTCTGTCGTCTGAGAATCTGTACAAGGGAGAAGGGAATAGAGGGTAAAGGAGAGGGGAGGAGGAGACTTGAGGGGGATATAGACACCAGCATGAACTGGGGCGCAGTAACCTCCTGCTGGGACTTTATCCCAACTTCCTGTCATCATTCAAACTGAAGTGCCCACCAGTGGGGAAATCACTCTGGAATAGAATTGAACATTAAAAGGACACATTTGGGAGAATGTCAAACAACTTCGCAAAGTCTATAGTAAGCGACAACAACTTGCATTTATATAGCGCTCTTCACCGCGGGAAACGTCTCAGAACAACAACAAGTAATTGGATTTACAAATAGCGCCTTTCACGCCGGGAGGACGTCCCAAGGCACTGGACAATGAGGGGTTGGCACCTGAGCTGCAGGTTGGGATCAGGGAGAGGTGGGGATTTTCAGTCCGTAGTATTCCAGGGCATTCACTGCTGATGGCAGCACAGCCGAGCCGGGCTCATTGGCACGATCAGGAAAGGCAGACCAGTCACTGGGGGCATGGAGTCATCCCACTCAGCTCCTGTTAACCCTGCAAGTCAATATCCTAACGGGTCGGGTGGTCCGAGCTGGACAAACAGTGGGAAAGCTTGCCAGGCAGCACTACCAATGGCAAGCTGTGTGGTTTTAATAATAATAATAATAATAATCCTTGCATTTGATATAGCGCTTTTCACGTCGGGAGGACGTCCCAAAGCGCTTCACAGAACACACTGTAAAGTGAATTGACTGTATATTTGTGGGCGAATGCGGCAGCCAATTGCGCACAGCAATGTCCCACAAACAGTCGTGGATTGAAAATGACCAATTTATTATTGTTTTGGGTTTTGGAGGGATTATTATTAGGCTCTGTGTGGCGTAAGGAAACTTGCCCAAGGTTTCGCCCTCTGCCTGGAATTGAACTCAGGTCTCTAGCTTGCAAAGCGAGTGCTCAACCACTGAGCTACAGGACTCCACTAGCTGGTTAGATCCAGCAGTTACCCCAACGAACACTCTGACCAGAAAAACACCCTCAGAGAATGACTGGTGCTATCAGGCACTGCGCTGAATGATTGTCTTTTTTATTCTGTTCTTTTTAGAACGACTGCCAAAGCCGACCCTGACCGTGGATCCCCCGTCAGGTGCTGTAACACTGGGCGACAATGTGACACTCACCTGTGCAGCTCCACAACACACTCCTGGGATGAGATTCTTTTTATACAAAGATGGTGCTGATCCATTACAGGAAACAACATTAGGAAATGTACCTGAGGTTGTTTTCCAGATCACAGGAGTCAACTTCCAGAATAGCGGTGATTACTACTGTCTGTATGACATTGGGAGTTCACCAGGTGGGAGCGCGAGAGCATCAAAAGGCAGTGACAATGTGAAGATAACAGTTGAAGGTCCGTGAGTTTCCTGTTTCTCTCCATTGTTTGTGTCTCTGACCCCCTCCCCCACCCCCCAGTCACTGGGCACTGAGAATCACCCCCCGCGCTCACCCTGGACAGGGGGAAAGTGTGAGTCTGAGCATCAAACAGTGGCTTGTGAAGCTGTTATATCAGTTTGGGTGTAAACGTTTGAGAGAACGACTGATGCCGTCACAGACACTGAGCTGAATGATTGGCTTTTTATTCTGTTCTTTTTAGAACGAGCACCAAAGCCGACCCTGACCGTGGATCCCCCGTCAGGTCCTGTAACCCTGGGAGGCAATGTGACATTCACCTGCACCGCTCCACAACACACACCTGGGATGAGATTTAAGTTATACAAAGACGATGCAGTTTCCTCACAGATCACCGGTCCAGTACATGTACCTGAGGCTGTTTTCCAGATCACAGGAATCACCTCCCAGAATGATGGGCGTTACCACTGTGTGTATGACATTCCCAGTTCAGTGTCTGACAGACAGAGAGTGTCACAAACCAGTGACCCTGTGAAGCTAACGGTTCGAGGTCAGTGAGATTCCTGTCCCTCTCCGTTATTTGTGTCTCTCCTCTTCACCACCGCCCCCCACCCACCACCGGACATTCTGACTGACTGTCTGTCAATAAGACGTGTGACAGGGTTTGCCCTGACCCTGGATCGGGGAGTCAGGCCTATTGCATGTTCCTTGCCCACCCTCAGCTGCCGTTCGTGGCCGCCCAGTTCCAGGTGTTAATGCAGTCTGTGTAAACCCCTCACACAAACCGGGTCAAGCCCCTCCCTGAGAGGGATTTACGAACTGCAATTAATAATAAAAATCAACTAAATTGGAAGTTTTATTTTGTTAATATCTGTTCATTCCCCTCCAGCTCCGCGGCCGGTCCTGTCCGTGTCTCCAGCCTCTGTGGTGAAGGGAGGCTCTGTCACGTTGACATGTACAGCTCCCAGCTCGGTCTCACCCTCACAGTTTACACTGTACCGCGAGGATCAGCCGGTCAGACAATCACCACACACGGGGCTTGTTAAAGTCTTCGAGATCAAAGCAATAAACGCCTCAGATGAAGGACGTTACCGCTGCAGATATCAAACTGCTCAGTCTGTGAAGTCGCTGCCCAGTCCCCGTGTGCCGCTCACTGTGAGAGGTGAGGGAGCTGATGCTGACTGCGGTTGCAATGTGGAGCTATCCTGAGCCCATGAGTAAATAACAGTCATGCCATTTTCTGGTATGCGCTGTGAATCTGTTTGAGGGGTGTTGATGATGTGATAAGGCACTATTTAAATCAAGGATTATAATAAATAATAACTTTAGCAGCAACAACCGGAATATAGCACCTTCCACGTGGGGTATGTCTCAGAGCGCTCAACAGTGGTGGAGCCCGACTCGGAGCCGGGTGTTGGGCAGTGGGTAGGTGACCGTCAGCACGGTCAAAAAGGAAGCTTTTTAGGCGGGACTTGAAAAAAGGGGAGTGAGTGGGCAAGGCGGTGGGATTGGGTGAGAGAGTTCCAGATTTTCAGGGCGTTAGTGGCTGCATGCGTGACCTATAAATAGGGGCATAGACCTGCAATGGTGGAGGGGTGGGTGCGAGGGACAAGCAGGAAGCCAGCGCCAGTTGAGCGATGGCGCTGGGTGGTGGACTGGGGAGTGAGGGTTGGAGAGGTTGGGAGTTGCCAGGGAATGAAGGGATTTGGAAACAAGGATCTTGAAGTTGCTCCGTTCAGTGATGGAGAGCCAGTGGAGCCCGGGCCAGAACTGGTGAGATGGGAGTACGGGTCCGGTAAGTATGCAGGCGGCAGAGTTCTGAATGAGCTCGATTTTTTGAACAGTGGAGCTGGGGAGGAGTGAGGAGTGTGTTGGAGTAACCCAGGCGGGAGGTGACAAAAGCACGCACGAAGGTTTCGGCTGCATTTGGGGTAAGGTACGGTTAGAGGCGGATAATGTGACAGGGGTAGAGGAAGGTGGTCCTGGTCAGGGACTAGATATGGGGGAGGAAGGACAGCTGGGGATCGAACCGGATGCCTAGACTGTGCACTGGTTCGGTGAGTCTGAGGGAGATCCCAGCGAGGTCGGATCTGGAGGAATGAAGACATTGACGGAAGTCAAGGAATTGTCCACATTCAGATGCAGGAAGTTTACACTCATCCAGGCCCTAATATCTGCCAGACAAGCTGATAGAACATCAGCGGACCTGGAGTCGCAGCTGGAGGAGGCAAAGTAGTTTTGTGTGTCATCCACATACATGTGTCTGTGGATGATATCGCCAAGATTCGCAGTCTAGTTATTCAATATAGATCATTGTCCTTATCTTTAAAGCCCTCCACAGCATCGCTCCTCTCTACGTATGTGACTTCCTAAGCCCCTAACAACTTGTCCACTCCCTCCACTCGCAGGCTCCGGCTTGCCTCACATCCCCTGCCTTGCCCGCCCCACCATTCAGCATCTCTGCCCCCACCCTCTGGAACTCCATCCCACACTCCCTCCTCCTCGTCCCCTCCCTTGCCTGCTTCAAGACCCATCTCAAGACCCTCCTCTTCGACCGTGCCTTCGGTCACCCTCTTACCCCTACCCTCTCCGGCTTCCACCCCTCCTGATCCCAACCACCAGCTCGGGTGCGGATCCCTGACTGTCCAGCACCTTAGGACGTCCTCATGTCATGAAAGGCACTATACAAATGTAATTTGTTATTTTGTTTTTGCTATTATATGCTGTGAAGGGCTTTGAGATATCTCAATCACATGATAAGGCACTATATAAATGCAAGGATTATTAATGAATAATTGTAGCAGTCTAATTATTACATTTTACCTGAAAAATATTGTGCGGTAAAAATTGTGTAATTGAACAGCAACAGGAAGGTTACAGCAGTTGGCTTTGAATATTACCACGGGATCTTATTATTATCATCTTTAACATCCACCTGAACAGGCAAGGACAGGACCTTGGTTTAGTGAAACGGTGAACTGGGGAAGGGGCTTTTGATGCAGAAACCGTGTTGACAACAGGATTCAGGGAGGAGGAGGACCCAGATGGGGAGAGACTAAAAATTTGTGACATTTGGGGAGCCTTCAAGACAGAAGAGAATGGAATCTCAGGGACAAACAAGATAACTGTAAGGGAATACTAGTTATGATTGAGTAATGCCAATTCATTGTTTTCTGCCTTATCTTTGAATAGAACCACCCGATGTGTTGCTGATAGCCGGTGTGACCTGTGCCGGAGCCCTGATGCTGCTGGTCTTTATTGGGCTGGTGGTATTGTGTGTTATGAAGAAAGGTAGGTCATGGAATGGTTGGACTGAGTGAGCAGCAGCAACAACAGCTTGCATTTACACAGCCACCCGTTACGCAGCATAATGACTGAGAGCGCTGCATGGGGCGGTGACGGGTGGCGAGCGAAGGTGGGTGGTGGGGGGGGACGGGTATTGACACAGGCACGGGCTGACAGGGACGCATTATATGCTCGCTTGATGGTGTAAATGTAAACAGTGAAGTGATATCAGCAGTGTGAGTGCTGGAACTACAAGGAATTAGTGAAAGGAAGTCAATATTTGTCTTGCAAAATAGTGTAATATAACAGGTGTTACTGGAACATCATACTTTCTCACATTTACCTCACGTGAACATCATAAGATCAGTTCGGATGAAGAAGCCCCTTTGGCCCATCTGATCCCATCCTTGTAGAACACCCGCCCGACTGCCCACCACAGCTTCCAACGGCTTTTTCAATAAGTCTGTGTCCAGCCTCAACCATCCTTACTGGTAACTCTGTTCCAATGGTTAATCCCCTTCTGGGTAAAGAAGAACTTACTTGCGTCTACCCTTTGCAAATCTAAACCCGAATCCTCTTGTTGTGCTGTCTCGGTGTATCTTAAAGGATTCTTCTAATTGATCAAGGGTCGCTACTAAAGTTGGATTCAACAGGTCTTGCTTTGGTTGCCCATTGGCGAAAGCATGGATTATTGTCCGGTTTCAATCCATGTGCAACAGCCACAAAATTACATTTATATAGTGTCTTTCATGCTGGAAGGATGTCCCAAGGGCTGTACAGTTAAGAGCTTCCATCCAAGCTTGGTGTTGGAATCAAGAGGGGTGGTGGCGGGGGAAAGGGTGACCAGAAGCACGATCAAAGGAGTCAAGGGTGACAGTGAGGCAGAGTTCCAGAGGTTGGGGGCAGAAAAGCTGAAGGCCCAACCGCCAATGGTGGGACGGGGCAGGAGACTCAATGAAGCAGGCCAGTCCCTCTGAGTGGAGGAAGCGCGCCGGTTGGTATGTGTTCATAGGTCACTGAGGTCAGGAGGAGCAAGATTGTGTTTAAATTAATTTTAATGTGCAAAGAGTCAGGAAAATTTCAAACTGTTTTTTCTTCCTTCACAGCCAAGGCAAAGGGAAATCAAGACATCAGGTAAGAAAGCGACTATTAAATGATCTGGACATAGCTGGTGTCACAAAGTGGACATTTCTAATTGAAACCAATAAGCAACAGAATAATTGTATTTGTATTCCTCCCCTATTCTCTCTGATGCTGCAGCACTGCACTCATAGCCCCCACTGTGCACTATTTACGGCTTTGAACCCACCCCCACCTGATTCAGAGGTGTGAATGCTGGCGACTGAGCTAGGGTGCAATTAGCTAAGCAAATGTGTTACAATAAAGCCTGCATTTCTCCAAAATGTTGTAACATCCAGAAGGCTATAAATAATGTGTGAATTCTTTATATGTTAAAACTGCCCTCAAGGCCAATGCCAGACCAAATTAACCGTTCATTTTAAGCTGAACATTAATACGGCTCATTTTCTTGCAGGTCCAAATCAGAAGGAAATCAAAATGTGCAGCTTTGTAAGTAAAATGAAGTATTTGATAATTGACAGCTGTCATTCATAGCCTTGAAAACTGTCAGCTACAGGGCAGATACATGGGAATTGAAAGGATTGCTGTTGAGGGAGCCGATACAGAGACAATGGGCCGAATGGCCTTCCTCTGTGCTCTAAATTTCTTGATATTAAATTTCATAGAATATCAACAATAATAATCCTTGTGTTTGATACAGCAGTTTACCAGGTTGCGATATTTCAAAGTGCTTCACAGGATTTTACTGTAAAGTGTAATGTCTTTGTGTTTGTGGGTAAACATGGCAGCCAATTTACACACATCGATATCCCCGCAAACAGCCATGAAGTGAATAATCCGGGAAACTGCCTTCTCTTTCCCAACAATGCTGCAGTGATCTCCAACATCAACATCAATCTGAACAGGCAGATGGGATCTCAGTTTAACGTCTCATCCTAAGAAACAGCACCTCCAAAAATGCAGCACTCCTCCCCAACACTGCACTGGAGCATCAGGCTAGATTATGAATTAAAATCTAGCCGTGCACTCCAGTGTAGTAGTGCTGGCAGGGGGCTTGTTATTTTTCGTGCCCAATGACTTCATTAAATAATCACATGTTGATCCCAGACGCAATTATCTCAATCAACTTGTACGTTTTGATGAAGTGGATGAAGGCGGTGCAGTTGTTGTAGTTTATATAGATTTTCAAAGGCATTTGATAAAGAGACTTGTCTTATGTGGCACTTTATCAAAATAGAAACCCACAGTATAAAAGTGACAGTAGCAGCATGGATACAGAACTCGCTGGGGGACAGAAAGCAGAGAGTGGTGGTGAACGTTTGTTTTTCTGACTGGAGGGAAGTGGGCAGTGGTCCCCCAGGGGTCAGTATTGGGGCCAATGCTGTTTTTGATCTATATAAATGACCTGGACTTGGGTAGAGAGAGGACAATTTCCAAGTTTGCAGATGATACTAAGTTAGGAAAAGTAGTAAACAGTGAGGAGGACAGTAACAGACTGCAAATGGACATAGACAGCCTGGTAACATGGGCAGACAGGTGCAGATGAATTTTAATGTGGAGAAATGCAAGTGCTGCATTTTTGGAGGAAGAATGAGGAGAGGTAATATAAGCTGATGGTACAATCTTAAAGGGGCGAAGGAACAGAGAGACCTGGGGTTCATATCAATAAACTTTTGAAGGTGGCAGGACAGGTAGATAAAGCTGTTAAAAAAGTATATGGGATACTGGGCTTTATAAATAGGGACGTGGAATACAAAAGTCAGGAAGTTATGATGAATCTTTATAAAAACACTGGTTAGGCCTCAACTGGAGACTCAGTTCTAGGCACCACACTTTAGGAAGGATGTCAGGGCATTGGAGAGAGTTCAAAGGAGATGTACCAGGAAGGTATCAGGAATGAGGGACTTCAGTTATCAGGAGAGGCGCGAGAAGTTAGGAATATTTTTCTTGGAGCAGAGGTTAAGAGGAGACGTAATAGAGATTTTCAAAATTATGAGGTGATTCGATAGAGTGAACAAGGAGAAACTATTTCCGCTGGCGGTTGGGTCAGTAACCCGAGGACACTGAGTTAAAATATTTGTTGAAAGAAACAGAGGGGAGGTGAGGAGAAATTTTTTCACATAGCGAGTTGTTCGGATCTGGAATGCATTGTCTGAAAGGCTGGTGGAAGTCGATTCGATAACTTTTAAGAGAGAAGTAGATAATTATTTGAGGAGGACAAGTTTGCAGGGCTATGGGGGGAGTGGGATTGATTTGGTAGCTCTTTTCAAAGAGCCAGCACAGACATGATGGGCCGAATGGCCTCCTTCTGTGCTATATCATTCTATGAATTACAATGTTTAACACGGTTATTACAATGCATGTAATTTCCATAGTGGAAAAAGACACTTTGTCAAATTTCTTTTTTCTCTTGCAGATGCCATCATAGAGCAGAAATCGCTCCCCAAGGTATGTATCGCCCTCTAACGCAACACAAATATACATTACAAAGCACTTTCCATATTGGAAGACCGTCTCAAAGCACAGAACAGTCCTGCCTGGATACCCGAGCTGGGGGTGGGATCCGAGGAGGAGTGAGGGAGTGGAGTGGAAAGATGACTGAAAACTTAGCTTTTAATATGGGAATTAATGGTAGGTAGAGAGGCAAAGGACAGGAAATGAGGGAAGGAGTTCTAGAGGCTGAAGGCATAGTTCCAAATAGTAGCACAGAGGAGTCGGGGAATACACAGGTGAGAGGAAGGTGCAAGGGCATCCTGATACACAACAATTTGACACTGAGACAGTCTATACATTGGCTTTCTATACAACGACAATCTGAATTCTTGTTATTACACGACACATAATCAGTTCAGGATGAAGCAGCCCCTTCGGCCCATCTGATTGCATTCCTCCAGAACACCTACCCACCTGACCTTCCCCCGTCACAGTGTCCAGCTGTGCTTTTAAACTAGTCCCAGCCTCAACCACGCTTCCTGGCAACCCCATTCCAGCCGTTAATCTCTCCCTGGGTAAAGAACAACCTCCTGATGCCCATCCTTTGCAACTTCTAAACCCGCGGCCTCTTGTTCTACTGTTTTGATACAAAATACGCAGTCACTTTTCACTTTACAGTAAAATCCTGCAGAGTGCTTTGAAATGTCTTGATGACGTGATAAGACGCTGTGTCAATTATTATTATCTAGTGACTATCCTCCTGGGTGGTGAGGTAAGAGGTGTCTCCTTGGAGCTGGACTAACTCCAAGGTGACATGCCTGGTAATGGAATGTCAGAATCGAGCCAACCCTCTGTGGTGATCTTTAATCCGGATCCTGAGCCAGGGCACTGCTAATGACAGCACAGCCCAGCCAGGCTCATTGGCAGGATGTGGAAGGACAGACCAGTTTCTGAGGACAGGGAGTCATCCCACTCAGCTCCTGTTAACCCTGCAAGCCAAAGTCCTCATGGATAGGATGGTCATAACTGGACAAGCAGTGAGAAAGCTTGCTGGAAAGCAATATCAATGGGGAGCTATGTGGTTTAAGCTGGTTAGAGTCCAGCAGTTACCCCAACGTACACTATGGGGGCCCTATTCCTTAGCTCTTGCCAGCCTGCGCCCAATACTTTCCAGAATTAGATAAGCAGAATATGTCCCTCCAGGGAGAGGGTGCACATTCCATTCCAACAAGCTATCTCTGGGATTTCCATGAGTAGAAGGGATGCATGGAAATCTCAGCTTGGTTTGGATACTGTTAAGTTGGTGTCAGACCCCCGGCTGAGAAAAAATTATTAATATTGCTCTCTTTTATCCTTTTTTTTAATAAAAACACATTTTTAGGAATCCTGTCCCAGACAGCAGGATGAGTCTCCTAATGTAACGTACGCCGTCCTGGACTCGCGTTCTCTACAGCCTAAATCGGGCGCTGCAGCAGCTAAGCAAGATGACACTGTGTATGCCTCAGTGAAACTGGAACCGTAGCACAGCACAAACCAAGTGGCTGTATCTCTGTAGGTGCGCATGCACACACACACACACACACACACAATATATATATATATATATAGTTGTTACGTTCCAGAATGCATCACCTGAAAGCCTGATGAAAACAGATTCAATAGTTGGTAGCTATTTAGAAGAGCCGGCACGGGCACATAGAAACGTTTAAAACAGGAGTAGGCCATTCAGCCCCTCGAGCCTGTTCTGCCACTCTACAAGATCATGGCTGATATGTACGTCAACTCCAATTACCTGCACTTGATACTCACCTTAACAAGTATCTATCCACAGTCTTGAAAATTTGAATGTATCCAGCATCCACATTCGTTTACGGAGATAGTTCCAGATTTCCACTACCCTTTGGGTGAGAAACTGTCTCCTGATTTCACTCCTATGGCCAAGCTCTAATTTTAAGATTATGTCTCCTTATTCTAGATTCCCCACCAGAGGCAATAGTTTCTCTGTATCAACTCTATTCAATTTCGTTATTATTTTAAAAACTTCAACTGGATCACCCCTCAAACCTTCCGACCATGTTTTATGCAACCTGTGCTTGTAATTTAGCCCTTTAATCCCTGGTATCATGTTGTTAGTCAATTGGCGGATCGCTTTCCGGGGGTAATAATACCTCCGAAATTTTGTTTTAAACAATGTGTTCATTCAATCCACGACTGTTTGTGGGACACTGCTGGGCACAATTGGCTGCCACGTTTTGCCCACAAAATACAGTCAATTCACTTTACAGTATGTTCTGTGAAGAGCTTTGAGAAGTCTCAAAGACGTGACAAGGTACAATATCAAAAATGCAAGGATTAGTATTCTGGTGAATCTGCACTGCACCCTCTCCAGAGCCAATATATCCTTCCTGAGGTGCGGGCGGTGCTCAAAACTGAACGCAGTACTCCAGATGGGGTCTGATCAAGGTTCTTTACAGTTGAAGCATCATTTGCTCTCCTTTATATTCCAGTCCCCTTGAGACAAAGGCCAACATCCTATTAGCCTTTTTGATAACTTTTTGAACCCATGAGCTTGTTTTTAGTGATTTGTGTACTTGGACACCCAAATCTCCCTGCTCCTTCACAGTTCTTAGTTTCTCACCATTTAGAAAATATTCTGTTTAGCTACTGAATTCCAACTGCCACAGTTTTGCCCACAATTAATCTGTCTATGTCGCTTTGTAAATTCCTGCTCCCATCTACACAATTTACTGTGCCTCCTAACTTTGTGCCATCTGCAAATTTTGATATAAAACTCTCTATTCAAGGCTGAAGTCCCAGTATAGAACCCTAGGGAACAACAACAACTTGCATATCTACAGCGCCCTTCGCACAGGGCAGTGTTCCAGAGAGCTTGACAGTGGCCGAGTCTGACCCCGAGGCAGGGGGAGAGGGAAGGGAGAGGTAACCGTAAGCACAATCAAAAAGGTCTTTAGGTGGGATTTGAAAGTGGGGAGGGAAGGTACAAGTCGGCGGGGGGAACGGGGATAGTTGAGGGAGAGAGTTCCAGAGCTTCTGGGTGCAGTGGCTGCAAACACCACTTGTCATGTCCCGTCAATCAAAGAACATTCCTTTTATCCCAACTCTCTGCTTCCTGCCTCCCAAACAATTTCCAAGCCACGTCGCAAGGTTACCTCCGATTCCATGCACTTTTGTTTTGGCTAATAACCTCTTGTGCAGAATCTTATCAAATGTCTTCTGAAAGCCCATGGATACGACATCCATGGACACTCTGCTATTCACCTTATTAGTGACCTCCTCGAAAAATTCAATTAGACTTGTCAGATATGACCTACCCTTCACGATTCCATGCTGACTCTCTTTGATTACCTCATACTTCACGAAATCACTCTGTCCCTGATGAGAGATTCCTGTAACAGGACTGTAGTTACCTGGTTTCTCCCTCCCTCCCTTCTTAAATAATGGAGTGACAATTTTCTACTCCAAGGGCACAGTTCCTGAATATAGAAAGCTTTGAAAAATTATAACTAATGCATTTGCAATTTCCTCATCTCTTTCTTTTAATACCCTAGGGTGGAATCCATCAGGTCCTGCAGATTTGTTTACCTTTAGTCCCATTATTTTCTCTATTAACATTTTTAAATTTATATTAAATCCATTTAATACTTCTTTTTGTCTTATCTTTAGGTTCCCTTAGAACTCTGGTATTTTGTCTTCTTCTTGTACTGTGAAAACGGAAGCAAAGTATTCATTAAGTAGAAACCCAGTTGTCAGTACATTGCTTTCCTAGGGGGTAATATTCCGTTCAAAAAAATTGATAATAATAATTTGGTCACTCACTCCGTGACTATTTGTGGGACACTGCTGTGCATAATTGGCTGCCTCATTTCACCCACACAATACACAGTCACTACACTTTACAGTATATTCTGTGAAGTGTTTGAGATGTCTTGAAGTCGTGATAAGGCGCTGTATCAAATGTAAGGATTATTATTATTATCATCTTTAATTTACTGTTATCTCTAGCTGAACCCTCCCCCCTTCACAAAGGGCTGAATGGCCTCCTTCTGTGCTTTAAAATTCTATGATTCCACATACCCTCCCATTCTCAGACTTAAGATCATTGTGTCAAAATGTAAGACTGCGGAATTTTGGAGCTGTGCACCAAGGCTTCAAGTTGTCATTTGCAGTCCCTGAGTGCGTTTTGCCCCTTGTACATTAATTTTGCTGTAACTGTCGGAGTTTATATATACAACGGCTTTTGAATCACTGAGTAATATTATGTTGTATTTCAGTGAACATCAAATTGTACACATCTTTTCTCTGCTGTTGCCTTCATTAGTATAAACAGGTAAACAAACTCTGGTTCTGAAATGTTTCAGTATTTCCACTATACTCAGCTACAATCCACATTATACAGCACCCTTCACATTGGGAGGACGTCTCAAATCACTTCACACAGCTAAACAGGAGCTTGAGCTGAGAGGGGATGGGAAAGGTGGATGAAAGCACAGTCAAAAAAGATAGGTCTTAACAACAACACAGAATTACATGTGTATAGCGGCTTTCATGTTGGGAGGATGTCCCAAGGCGCTAGACAGTGAGTGTTTCAGATCCGATCTGGGGGTCGGGATTGGGGAGGGTAGAGGGCAAGGGGGGAAGGAGGGTGATTGAAAGCACAGTCGAAGAGGAGGGTCTCAAGATGGGTCTTGAAGAAAGCAAGGGAGGGGGCGAGGCAATGGTGGGGCGGGCGAGGCGGGGGGTGTGAAGCAGGCCAGAGTGGGTCAGCGGAGGAAGTGGGCAGGATGATAGGGGGTTTAGACATCACAGAGGTAGGGGGGAGTGAGGGCTTTGAAGGTGAGGACCAGTATCTTGTACTGTATCCTCTGTGTGATGGGAAGCCAATGAAGTCGGGCAAGGATGGGGACGATAGGGTCACGGAGCCTGGTGCGGGAGAGGACACAGGCTGCAGAGTTCTGGAGGATCTGCAGCCTATGGAGAGAGGAATTGGGGAGGCTGAGAAGCAGGGAGTTTGCAGTCGAGTCTGGATGTAATGGATGCGTGTATGAGGGTTTCGGCGGCCTGCAGAGTGCAACAGTGACAGAGCTTAAGGTGGGGAGAGGGAAGCAGAGGGACATTCCAGAGATTGAGGACAGAATTGCTGAGGATTTGTCCAATATGGGATGTGAAGCAGGGCGGTGCTCACTGAGTGGGGGAAGTGGCTGGATAGTCGGGTCGCAGGATGCCTGACATAGGGTAGCACATGGCGGTGGAGGCATTTGAAACTGAGGACAAGAAGCTTGGATTCGATCCCCTGGGGGTTGGGGAGCCGAGTGAGAATCTTAATGAGGGGCTCAGAAGCTGTGAGGGACAGGAAAGGCTACAGAGTTCTGGATGGTCTGTGAATGAAGCTCTTGGAGGGGAGAGGGGAAGAAAAGAGATGGTCCCAGGGGAAGGCAATGTTACAGAACTATGATGTAGGCTTTGACAGAGAGGTCCCTGATATGGCGTGAGCACGTGGGGGTCAATGCAGTCAGGGCCAGAGGTGAGAGGATGTTGATGGGAGACAAGCAGGATATTCTCGGTCTTGTCGACATTGAGCTTTAGGAAAGTACAACTCATCTATCCAATTTTTCTCTGGGTTTGGGGATTAGGTGGACATTCTCTTAAAATTTCTTACTCATATACTCATTCACTGAAACAAGGTGAGCGGGTTTGCTCACTCCACTCAGCAGGCTCCGGCCTGCTCCACATCCCCCACTCAGCCCAGTCCGCCCCCACCATCAGTATTTGGGGCTTCAGCCTCTCACCCGCCATTACCTCCATTACCCCAGCCCTTGTCAAACACCATTGGCTCCCTGTTACTGAGCGGATCTGCTGTGTGCTCTCTTCACTTTGCTTGTGTACTGCCCTGCTTTTCCTGGAGGCTTCCAAGTTATGCTGGACATGGACCCACAGGCCTTGGCTACCCTCTGAACTTCGATGAGGAGCAACACAGACTCTTTTCTCATCCCCGCCTGGCAATGTGATCACCCTCAGATCCAGGCTCACCAGCTCCAACTCAGATCTATTTCTCTTTAACCTCACACCCTCCATCTCACCATCAACCCCCACGCTCTGGCAAAAATATTTCCTTCTTCTAATCCTTTTTAACAACATCTTTTTACACACACCCTTGGGTTCTCTTTCCTCTCCTCTCCACTTGCTGCTCTCCCTAAAACAGTTCTAGATGATCAACTCATACGAGATACAAGTTTGAACTCATAATCCTGAACTCATCAGGTCTTTCAATTCAGCTTTGAACTTTGGGTGTCAGGCTGGCTCAGTGATAGCACTCTCACCAGAAGATTGTGAGTTCAAGCCCCACAGAAAGAAAAAGTTCTTACTCCAATGCAGTTTTGGGGATGACTTCCATTGTCGGAGATCCCATCTGCCTATTCAGGTGGATGTTAAAGATCCCATGGCACTATTCGAAAAGAGACGGCAGTTTTCTCCCAGGGTCCAGGCCAATAATCCCCGAAATAAATTTGGTCATTCACTTCACGACTATTTGTGGGACATTGCTGTGTGCCAACAGGTTGCTCCATTTCGGCTACAAAAATACAGAGTCTTTACAATATATCCTGTGAAGCGCTTCAAGACGTCTCGTTGACATGATAAGGTTCTACATCAAAGGCAAGGATTATTATTATTATAACCCCTTGTCTTTGCTGACATTTCAATACAACCTGGAGGAGTGCTGTATTGTTAGAGGTGCCATTTGCAAGTGGAACAGAGGTCTCATCTGTTTGTTCAGGCGGATTAAAGATTTGAAAAGAGAAAGGAGTTCCTATCGATGTCTGGCAAATAATCCTCCAGATTAAATTGGTCATTCACTTCATGACTGTTTGAGAGGCATTGCTTAGGTGAAAACTAAGTCCTGTAGCTCAGTGATTAGAGCACTCGCTTTGCAAGTGAGAGACCTGAGTTCAATTCCAGGCAGAGGGCGAAACCTTGGGCAAGTTTCCTTACTCCACACAGAGCCTAATAATAATCCCTCCAAAACCCAAAACAATAATAAATTGGTCATTTTCAATCTACGACTGTTTGTGGGACATTGCTGTGTGCAATTGGCTGCCGCGTTCGCCCACAAATATATACAGTCAATTCACTTTACAGTGTGTTCTGTGAAGCGCTTTGGGACGTCCTCCCGACGTGAAAAGCGCTATATCAAATACAAGGATTATTATTATTATTATTAAACTGCCTGCCATTTTTGCTGTCAAAATACAGTCATTGCCCTTTACAGTATTTTGGCGAAGCATTTAGAAATATCCTCCCACTGTGAAGTGTAAAGGTAAGGATTATTTATTAAATTGTATGCACTCACACACACTGACACAAGATGTAACACATTATTATTATAATGTAATACTGAACGTTATGCGCATCTTGCTATGACTGACTACTTGGGGTGAAATAATGTAACTGCATCAGACTGCAGAGCCCCTCATCTCCGGCAATGCATTGTTCGATATTGTGTTCCACACCCTGACCTTTAACGGCAATTTAGTCAGGTTAAGCATTAGTATAAATGCTCTGACCGTGGAGCTGTGAGAATTTGTTGCAAAGGTAAACAGACCACCAACAATTCTTCATTTGCTTTTGTCTGGAGTGACTTGCAGGACGGTGAAGAATTAAAACAATGTAAAATCTCCATCATAACCTCTGCTCTCTCTCCTCACGTGACTGGAGGGCTTGCGACTCAGTGTCTATATTAACCAGGAGACTACTCTGTGCAGGTTCTCCAATACATGGAGATTTTGGTAAAGTGAAGAGGCTCCCGCCTCCCTTTTTTTCCCTTTTTTAAAAGTTTTGTTGAAACTATAATAACGACCATTATATTTGATTCAGCACCTTTCGCATCTCAACTGCTTAATTGTAAGACAGACCAAGAAGTTATCCTGCATGACGAGCACTATATAAATGCCAGTGACTGATGTTGTCAAAGCTGTGATAGATTCTGTTTTTGATGAGGTATTCCAATATGCTAATAGCCTCTAGTGTGAAGAAAATTTTGCTCTCCAGACAGTGAACTTGTGTGTCCTTGCGAGCATCAAGTGAAGCCTCCCCTTGCAATCACCTTCAGTAAATAAGCAAGCAGCTCCCTATCTTCATTAAGCCACCACCTGCTCGGGGCAGCTTCAGCCAGGGGCTGAGAACAGGCTGACAGGCTGCTCCAAAACCTCTACGGACCTCGATGGCTTCTCTGGAGACTTGGAGCTTCTGAACAAAGCGCTCATTGTCTAAAAGATGTTTTTATCATTTACAATCGCCAGAAGAAAGAGCATCCAATATGTGCCAGCCTGGTTCATTCTCGCCTCGGAGTCAAAAGGTTGTGGGTTATGCCACACGCATAGTCCAATTCAGTGTTGGGGATGTGCTGCATTGTTTCATAACTGAATGCCACATTTGACCTACAAAATAAAATCAATACATTTTACAGTATATCCTGCGAAGCATTTTGAGACTTCTCAATACTTGATGAGGCAATATCAAATGCAAGGATTCATTATTACTCTTGTGCTACATACCAATAACAATAGAATGTCTTAGGTTCCTGCAAACAATTAAAGCCATCAGCCTGGCTCAGTTGGTAATACCCTAACCTCCAAGTGAAAAGGTTGTGGGTTCAAGCTCCATGTTGGGTGCAATAAGCTGAAAGCTGTGGGGTGGGACGTGAAGCAAGTTGGTCCTCGCAGAGAGAATAGAATGGTCGA